GGAGCGAAATATAAGTATTTAACAGCGTTTTACCCTATAACGGACAGATAAACCGAAATCATAAACCAAGTCCTAGAATAGTACCTACGATACTACGTAGGGTACGAATAAGATAATTAGGTATAATACCTACTACTTATATAGTTTATATATAATAGCTCGTTAAACGAGTTAATAAAGAAAACACCGTTCGAAGCAAATTACGGGTATATACCGATAGTATTTAGAAAACCTTTAAAAGGACTAGACGCACTAAGAGCGATAAAAATAATTAAAAGTATAAAAAAACTACACGAAGAACTACGAACCGACCTAGAGATAGTTAGAACACGAATAAGTAGATACGTAAATTAATTAAGGATTAAGGGACTAACCCTTTTAAGGAGGGACCGCATTTACCTTATTCGTAAAAACATTAAAACACAACGACTAAGCAATAAATTGGATTTCAAAAAATTAGGACTATTTAAAATCCTAGAGAAAAAATCAGATACGAACTATATTCTATTACTACCTCCGATAATAAGGATACATAATAACTTCTATATTTTATTACTCGAACCAGCACCGAAAAACGTAAAAATAATATAAGATATAATCGTGGTAGATACTAGCGATATATATAAAGCGGAATAAATCCTCGATTACCGAGAGACGCTAAACGGCACCGAATATTTTATTAAGTAGAAAAACTACGACCACGGCGATAATATATAGGAACCTAAAGAAAACCTAATCCACTATAAGTAACTCCTAAAGTAATACCGATAAAACACTATTAAGACCTAGAACCAGACGCCGCGGTCTGCGTAAAATTAATATCCGAAAAATCACCTATATCCTACGCTATAATCTAATTCTAATTAATTAAATCTATAGCACCCGCCGTTTATATATTAACTACCGCTTTAGACTCCTCGCGATCCGCCGTCTCTAAAGCGTCGAGGGACTTAAGGCCACGGGCTACTATAGTTATACCCTTAGAATAAAGGGACTCCCTTTAGCGGCGGATTCGGGCTAAGCGGGCTAGAGACTTAGAAGCTTCCTTCTAGGCCTTCTCTAACGCGCGATAAGTGGATAGGAGGGAGGCCTCGGTCACCTCCTCCTCCGTCTTAAGACGCTCTATTTCCTTATTAATACGCGTCACTGGAAGAGTAATTAGCGAGGAGGGCGACTCGGAAGAATAGGAAGGCACCCACGAGAAGATAGAGGAACCCCCGAACTATCGCACGATCGACCACGACGGACGTATTCCTTATAACAGGAAATGTTTTCGATCATAAGGCACCGAAAGCCTTTTAACTCGTAAAAGGAATAAGGCATAACTTCCACCCTAGAGAGTTCGATAGTGCGCGATAGCTTAATTCGATACTACGTCTTACGGGAAGGCTATAACTTCTGGATACGGCCGGATATAATAGTTAGCTATAGGAAAAGAAAAGAAAAAACCTTAAGGGCGACGAACCTAGGATAGGCGACCTATTTATACGACCGCTAGGATAGCGCTTAGAAGAGGGGAGGTAATATTACGGCTAATAGACGTAATATGCACCAGCACGAGGGATGCACCGGTATATAACGTGCCAGGGCGTAACTAGAGGATGACTCAGGATAAGATCACGTGTTAAGTCACGTGATAGATAACTAAGGAAGATAGACTAGCACGCTAGCGCCGGTATAGGGAATATACTAGTAGAGACGGATCATGAGGATCACTAACGATTACTTGGCTAAGGAAGTGATCCAGTATGATCCTAGGTTAAGGGATCACCAGGGCGTTCGTGATCTCGCAGATATATATACTAAGGTATTCTAGGCCTTGCTTCTATTAGAGAATAAGGCATCGATTAATCTAAGTCTTCACCTGGACTACTATTCTACGCTCGAACCTACCTTGTGAAGAAGACGCCTAGTCTTTACGACGCAACTACGACCAGACTACTACGAACGACAGTTACTGCTCTTTAGTTAATATTCTCTTCTTATTTAAACTAAAACCTCGACGCCAGTCCACTATCGTCCGCTATACTATAGAGGACCGGAAGCCGTCATAACATTATGTCGTGTTTATGAGGGTCTAAGGCCTTTACGGACCTTCCAGACCCACTGTACCTGATCTTGCAAGTTAACTAACGAAAAAGGGAAACAGTAAGAAAAACGTTGCGAGCCACAAGAAACACCAGAGAACACAGGACTGAGCATTTCAACTCCATGTAACAACTTGAGGCAAAACCAAATAAAGAAGATTAAAAAAGTAAAAAAGATATGGACAATCCGCGAATCGAACGCGGGACCTTCAGCATGCTAAGCAGACGTTATACCACTAAACCAATCGCCCATTGGATGTCTTTCTTGTGGAGAAGGCTCCCAGGCCCCAATATATTACGATCTGAGAAGCTCAGAAGTGAAACTTCATGTCAAATTCCAAGTGAAGCCTGCGGAACTATGAACAGATAAGCAGCTAGTCAGTTAATAATTAACAATAAATTATGTGTCAGGGATTTTCCTAGTACTTAAATGCTGATAACTGCAGTGTAACTACTTAAGTGATGGTATAGTGAGATTCCTGAATGGTTCACTGATCTAGGTATTTTAGGCGGTAATAAGACTCTGAGGCGTGCTTTTTGGTGAATGTTCAGTTCGTATTCATCAGTTTACTTTAAACCTGTATGTCGGGTTACCTATATGCAACCCGTAATGAACATGTATATAGTTATGCTTAGAGGGCAAATAGGCCGTAACTGAAACTGCCCGGGAAGGTAAGGACCGTAACGTAGTAAGGCAAGAACACACCTTCCTGAGAGATAACTTTGTCAGTTAGTTACTAACCCTAATATGCCAGAAACACCGTCTCATCTCTTATAGCGTGCGCGAGACTAATCAAAACAAGCAAGGCATTACCCTACATCTACGACAATTCTGCTCTTTAAGTCTTGGCTCTTTTGGCTCTTTAGAGTGTTTACATTCACATCTTAGCTATCCAAGGGCATCTATGGTTAGTGCATTTGGTTACTACTTTGCTGAACATACGTCCCAGTAAAGCATACTGGTAAGTGTGACCACATATGCGCGCATTGCATAGGCCCTTTCAAAGAACTAATGACTAACCTATCCCTTAAGAAGTCAACCATGGATATGCCTTGGGGACAGGTGATGCAGATCGCCTGGGAGAAGTACATCTCCTTCAACAACCTCGGTCCTCTGTGGCGTCGGCCACATTACGACCCTGATTCGGCCAAGTATGTCCTCGCACAACAAGCCAGAGATGAACGGCATCTTGTAAGAGAGTCAGACGAGAAGATGATACTCAACTTTGAGCTGCCACGAGACAATGTCACTTCAGATGGCCTGAAAAGAAACCAGAGCCGACAAAACAAAGATGAGCGTATTATTCAAGAAACCGTGAACGAAATCGTCAGACACAACAAGAATCTCAAAGACACGGTTGACCGTCTCAGGACAATTGCGGGTCCGCCGCACTTTTCCGTCATCATGGACAAAGTCAGTAGTGATGGCCATCCTCTTTTCCGCCCTATCGCACAGGGCCTCGTCAACCGCGAGGGCCAGGATACCAACCACTACCTAGGCCACCAGCCCGGCGACTACATCTTCCTATTCCGACACATGCCTTGCTTGCCCTGCAAGGACTCGCGCCTCTGGGTATACGAGGGACAGGTGCCCTACACCCAGGAGATGTACATTAGCCGCCTTCGGCAGGAGTCCCTACCTGACGCCATCCTGCTGATCGTTACGCTGCTTGAGTTCGATCATCGGGACCCGGGAAGCCTGTCTCCTACGGCCAAACGCTGGCTATCCTGTAGCGAAGGTGCATTCTGGTCGCCCAAAGAGTGGGAAGCCATTTCCCTCCTCTGGAAGGAAAGGGTGCCTGATGGCCGCAAGCCATTCTACCGAACCCTGTTGCATAGGTCGTCTCGAATGCGTGAATTCGCCTGGCTCCTCTGGCAAGTCCGCTTCATCTTCCCGGTTGAGACATCGTTGGGTCCCATCCTCGCGATTATTGGGAACGGCATGAAGACAGTGCTAAGGCTGGCTGCTCTGCACGATCGAGAGGAAGAGAGAAACGCGCGAAACTTGCTCTTCGACGAGGACGAGTGTTCGCGTGCCATTAGCTGCGGCGATGATGGGAATACCTACACCGCAAAGCATTGTACCGGGACGGAGAAAGACACAGCCCCAAGACGAGTGTTGGTGTACACGTATGGCGGCAATGCTGATTTCAAGTCGCCATGTTCGAACCAGCCAGAGACACCCTCTGGACTTGACAAGATGTTGTCGTCGTCGCCGCATCATGCAGGAACTGCCACAGACCACGCCCAGCGTCCTGGCTATTGTGGGTCGGAATCGGACCGAGGTTCTGCCGAAAAGCCGTCAAGCCACAGGCACCGCCACGGCCAGAAGCAGGCGCAGGAGGACCCGTGCCAGTACCATGCAACCCTCAATTTTCAGATGCGACGCCGACCCTACACCCTTCCAGGCGACTCGTCCTACCTTCACAAATTCTACAACCTGCACAGGGACAATTACACCCCCGACCACGGCTTTTACCCAGACGCTGGGTTCTCAGACCACAGGTTCCCGAAACCGGTCGATCTCGCCCCGGCTTTGTGCGCCATTCAGCGTATCAACACGAGATTAGCTCGCGAGCAGCGCCTGCAGAGATTCGAGGAGATCGTGGGCACCACTGCATCCGACTCGGCGTCGTCTTCTCCGGATCAGTCTCGTTTTACAGCTCTTCCGAACATTCAAACAGCAGCGAGCACCGAAGGTGTCAGCATCTTTCGAGCCCTTGCAATTTCTCGTACATTCCGCGCCTCAGAAAGGAACCGCGATCAGCTGCTCCCCTTGTTGGAGATTAGACGAGAAAACGAACACGCCAACACCTTCCAAGCTTTCGTACCCTGCCTTCCCGTCGTTCGTCATTCCTTGGAAGAAACCGACCAGGACGATAGTCAGCAGCGTCCCAGAAAACTTCGGAAACTCAATTGAAAGGGACAACGCACTGCACCGACCGTGATTGCAGGCAGTGCTTCTCAACCAAACGAGTCAACCCGACAAACTTTCAGTCTTCCGTTCCCTGCTTCAGAGCTTCATAACCAACCAACGATGCCTTTCCATTTCTCTCTCGGCGGCCTGCTGGCTCGCCCTGCGGTTACTGCGCCTTTCACCGGCACCACCACCACGGCTTCCCTCCGCGCGCTATTCCCCAACATCTTACGCCCCTTCTCGACGACCCCTGCCTCCCAGAAGCGAAAGAAGAAGGGCAAGGAGGGCCCCGGTCACGAGTTCCGTCACCGAGTGGCTAAGCTCCGCGGCAACTTGCACGGATACGCGCCCCCCCCTCTCCGCATGGCCCGTAACCGGTGGCTCCGGCACTGGACCATCCACCGCGCCTGGCAGCTGCACCAACGCCGCGTCCGCGAGTCGCTAGAGCGCGAGCGCATGCGCATGCACCAGGGCATGCACAGCGCCTGCGAGGAGCTCCGCGTCACCGAGGGCCCGGGTCTCAAGGGCGAGGGATATCTTTACCGTGTGGCTCTAGAAAAGAAGGGCCTCTATGGGCTCAATGCCGTGCCGATCGAGTATGCGCGCCTGCAGACCGAGACGCCGGCTCGGATTGCCTGGGACCACGATTGGAAGCGGTGAAAGACGAACCCTAGGGACGTGGGGGAAATAGTGCAGCCTGTGTGTATGATGGAATGTGTTTTTCTCTGAAGCTGCTCTTCTTCCCCCTTTTTTGTCTCTTTTTGTCTCTTCGTCCAGGCCTTCCCCCCCTCTTCTCTTTTGCTTCTTGATTGTTGTTCATATAGACATATTTTTCACCACGAGCTGCGTCGTCCGGGAAGATGGCCTCTCCGTCTTTGGACTTCTTGCATCACCTCAAGTGTACATTTAGCTTAGTCGAGACACGTGGCTTTAGCCCCAGACCGCGGTTGGCCTTGTACTCTTGGTGTTCTTTGGCACTCAGTTTTCTTTTCTTGTAAAAATATCTTCAGAGGAACAGGGATTAAGGATGCATTCAGAGGCTCATGCTGCCATAAACGCGGTGTGGGAGATGGACTGAAATATGAATGGAGACCAAAAGACAAAAAATAACAACAATAAAAATAAAATAAAACAAGATGATACAAGTTCCTCGAGTGAAAACCAAGGAGAGGTAACCATCCAAGCTGTGTCATCTTGCCGCCCAAACACCATGAAATAGATAGGAAAGTTATTAGCTTGCTTAGATATGTCGACTTCTTCCCTCTTTCAGGGAGTTCGCCTCTAGCATTTTCGCTTCCGTCCCCGAACTCGCCTGCTATCATACAGTTAAAAGCTGGCCGTGACTGTGGAGTAGAATTTTGGCAGCAACAAGATAATGATCGCGGTGACCCCTATTCTGGATGTGTGCTGGCATATAATGCGCCTGATCTGTTGTGGTTGGCTGTCCACGATGGACCGTTCTCGTCTTTGGTTATGCTGGAAATTACTGCTAGCACGCTTTTCTTCCTTTGTGTTTGGCCTCCCCTTGGTATACGATTATCCGTTTTCGAGTTCCGCAAGCAGTCGGAACGGGAAATCTCGGACGACGCTGCACTGCGGTGTTCGAGATGGTGTGCATGTCTGATGCAGAGTCCCTTTCAGCAACGAACCTGAACTTTGCGATTTTGTCTTCCGTTATCCGCGATGCGCCGACGCCCAGGAGCCCCCGACATTTGGTTGAAACCGGCAACGTAGCTCTTGCTATTGCGTATTACGTTAAATTGGGGAGTTCTCGTCCTTATATGCTTCTTCTTTTTGTTTTCCTTTTCGCCACGCTTCATTCAAAGAATGACGCAGCATCCCGCTCCCTCCCCTTTCTCGAAAGTAAGGAGGGCGGCGCGAGTAGCGGCCTCGAAGACGTCGTCGACACCCTCGCCGCTGAGACTGGAGCACTCGAGGTATTTCCGGGCGCCGATTTGCTTGGCGACGGCGTCGCCGTCTTGGGCGGTGACGAAGCGGAGGGATTTCTTGCGCATCTCCTCGATGGCGACCGGGTCTTCGCGGAGGTCCTTCTTAAGGCCAACCAAGATGATGGGAACGTTGGGGCAGAGGCGGTTCGCTTCTTCTATCCACTGTTTAGAAGGAGGGAGAAGAGAGAGGTGGTTAGCGACTGACAGGAAAAAAAGAAACCCCCCCCCCCCCCGCGGGGAGTTGGAGTGACGAGGTAGAAGAACAGGACGGACGGACGCACCTTGTGCTTGACGTTATCAAGCGAGTCTGGCGTGTCGACGGAGAAGCCGATGAGGATTACGTGAGCTTTGGAATAGGCCAAGGGCCGTAGCCTTTCGTAGTCTTCCTGGCCTGCGGTATCCCAGAGCGCGAGCTGGACGGACTTGCCGTCTACCCTGCAATCTGTCACATAGTTCTCGAATACTGTAGGGATCTGTTTTTTTCGGCCGTGGTAGGGTCAGAATGAGCTGTCGCGTCGAGAAATAGAAGGGTAGGGGACTTGACTGACGTAGTGCTGTACATGGTCATGCAGGTTAGCAGAGTTCCCTGTAGAGAAGCGGGGAGAGGGGAGCCGAGTGAACATACCGTTGGGAAGTATCCTAGGGTGAAGACGCTGAGTAGACTCGTCTTCCCGCAAGCACCGTCACCGATGATGACTAGTTTTCTGTATTCAGGACGTCGGCCACGTCAGCTTCTGCAGGGTGAAGGTCGAGAACCAGACCAGGTAAGGGGGGTTTCCCAGGAGGCAGAATCGGCGCAAGGCAGCATGACGAGAGAACGGCGTTGGACGCAAGGAGTGAACCGGTGCTACGAACCTTCGGATGACGTTCTGGGGACTTGAGCTCGCCATGGCGTAGGTGGGAAAGAGGAAGGCGGAGAGGATCGAGGGGAGGGAGGAGAGAGAGAGAGTAAGCGGAGGGGACGACCGGGCGGCTCGTTAGGACAATCGGAGGGCAAGGCTGGGAGCGAGAGTCGAAGAGGCCTTCGGGCACGAAACAATTCGAGGAAGATTCGACTATGATAGGGGTTTCAGATTCCCCGCGAGCAGTAGGCGTGACGTTGGGGGTTTGGATGTTGGCCGTGAATGCAGGAAGGAGTTGCTTTCAGCGTAGGGAGAGCGGGTTTTAGGTTGGCGTTGAAAAGGCGAAAATCCACCAGGGGCCTGTCCGGTACAGAGGAGAGCAATTGAGGTCGGATGACGGGGCCGTGAACAAGGGGGTAGGGCAGTGGCTAAGGTAGGCGGCGGGCAATATGTAGATAATGAGGTTATTCGCAGATGTCGGGAAGCCAAAGGGAGAACTTTAGTACTTTCGTCGGATCTGGTTCAATGGGAACTGGATCGGTAAACAGTCAATTGGGGAGAGGGGGAAGACAGGTGGGATTCTCGTACTGGTACGGAGGGATACGGAGTAATTAGATGCGGTAGAACCGGTGCCGTGGTCGATTGGATGGGAGGAGGGGATTATTATACGAATAATACGGCAGACAATTGAAGGGCATAAATAGATACAAGAGATCAGAGAATATCCAATAACGATATCGACAACAAATCGGGACGGAGAACGACCAGAGGATGATGCCAGCCGCGTTGAGAAGAGAAGAAAAGCCGAGGCGTATGTATGTACGGAGTATCAGTAGAAGCACGGCGTTGAACTGTTAAAGGAGCATGTGTACTCGGTAAAGTACAACGTACCTTAAGGTACCTTACCTTACCTTCCCTTACGAATACGAATACCTAATAGGACTTGTTATCAGGTAGGTACCTGTAGGGCAGGAGTCTAAGGTAGCGCTAGGCGTTGCTTTCCGGGGTGAGCGTAGGACTCAGAACGGAGCACTCAGTGTGCGAAGTACCTTACCCAGTAGGGGTGGGAGAAACGCCGTTGGATTTGGATACGAGCTGACGCCTTTCTTGTCCGATTTGTGCCCTTCAAACCAACGGCAACCATACCTACCCTACCGTACCTTAGTGTACCTAATTCGCCTTTCGGGGGTCCGTTTCAGTCCTCCCTTCGAAAGGAGCCATCACGGCATGCGGCCAATTCGTCTCGAGGATGGAGGTTGACTGTTTCTTCGTACGTAATCGCATCCGTCCGCCATCAATCAGGGCAACCGGCCGGTGTCTTGATACATACTTTCCATGATGTCCATGATTACGATGACGGAGTGGTTTGCCCATACAATGAATTAGATGTGGCATCACGTGCAATAAGAGTATCGGTATGCCCGGAACAGTCGAAATAAAGAATATAGTGATTAGCGACGAGGTAAACCTCGGATCAGACGTCCACATGTTCTCGCCAGCCCTATCAGGATTAATCCCCGAGGGATCTGCGGAGGTGTGTCGTCCGTCGATAGCCACGTCGTTTGACGCTTTGGGAACGGGTGAAGGAAGGAGTGTAGACCTTTTAATCCCGTGTCCGCGTCGCCTCGTATATCGTACACCGTTAATCGCGTAATCAATTATTGAAGTGCTGGGCGAATCAAGAGGGCGGGACCTTCGCCAAGCAGTATAGGACGCCCGGCGCTGCCAATATCGGAGCAGCGTCGACTGGAACTTGAAGGTGCAGTCTCGGAAGAGTACGTCTACCTATGCACTCTTCTCCTGAATCACAGATCTGCTTTGATGAGCAGGCTCAGTAGTCGAAAAGTCATCGCTGTAATCTGAATATGGCTGTGTTCGTATCAATAGAATGACGCCATCCTCGGACGCCGCTTCCGGGCGCAGCTTGTTGACCATGCCTGAGCAATAATGCCTTGAATTCCTCTACGACGCAGTCACCAGAGCATTGAACCAGAGGAAAAGGGGCCGTCCCTGGATACCTTAAGGTAGGGGGTTCCTGAGATGTCGATTCCTACCTAAGGTACCTACTGTACGGTAGTACTCGGTCTTCGGCCGGGCAATGGTTTCAAAGACAACCTGGAAGTCAGGTATTTCTCCTACCTTAGGTAGAGACACTTACCTTAAATATAGGGACCTACCTTAGGAAGAATAAGGTATATAAGGCAAGGTACCTTTATTCTTAGAAATTGGAATGGCAAGGGAAAGAACGGGCTCGGCAGTCCTGCTATAATTAGGTACTTAGGCCAGTTGGAAATGTATTAATACTTCGTATGATAGAGAAAGGCGTACCTGGGATACGAAGGTAGGAACATAGGACGTAATTAATTGTTGCCTTACGTCAGGCTGGGAAGGACCAGGCTGAACGGGAAAGAACAACTTTCAGGGCAGGCGCCACACGGTCACGTGGAAAGGTACTAAAACGGAAGCCTCTAATTCTGATTGATGGACGACCTTTGCTAGTTGTGCAAGGCCCTGCTTTCAGGCGGCTCACAGGTACTCTTTCCAAGTGACTACACCGGAAAGTGACTTTCAAAGTGGTTCCCCAACCGAAGCAAACACCACCTCTTTCCTTCCGTCTTGCATCTCCCTCTGCATTCTAGTCCTTGCGTCTACCACCACGAACCCCCCCTCCCCCCTCCACGAAGTTCTACCACCTACATAACACCTTTTCCCAGCATCCTTTCTTCCCACTATCCATCTCTAGCTTGAGACACACCAGCCGTGTCATCTTCTCATCCGCCCTAGGCCTCGTCTGCACCACCACCACCACCAGTGAGTTTCTCGCCTCGTCCGTCGTCATTTCTTTGACTGCACCCCGCCTGCAAGCAACACGTTCGCCTCGGACTTTCTCGTCCCCCTTCCCCATCTCCGGAAAATGCGATCCTACTGCGCCGCTATACCTTGTCGTTATATTGTGGCTTGGCCTGCTGGACTCTCTGCCTCTGTCTCTGTCTCTGCCTCTGCGCTCTACCCTTTGCCTTCTGCCATCCGCCATCTCGTCACCATCGAGGGGGGGGGGGGGGCGAACACCGAACATCCCTGCTGCCGGCGTCGTTTCAGCATTGTGATTAATCAACTTGGAACTGCCACACTGACCTGACATTCTTTGTGTACTCTGCAGCCCGACGGGATTCCTCTCTTTATCTTACCCCGCGACCCTGAGCTAGACCGATCCTGCCCCCTCGCTCATGGTATCGACTCCCCTTCGCTGCACCCTGGCAGATCTCCGACATGCCCGCCAACAAAGGCTCGTCGGCACCTCAGCCGCCCGACTCTCCTAACACGAAGGCTGCTACTGCTCGCTACACAAACAAAGATGGTTCCAAGATGATTACCGTGCCCAAGGCCGCGCCTTCTACCGAATCCTCCCAACCTTCGACTCCTACCTTGCCGTCCAAAGCCGCTACATCCTCGCAACCGACCCCTACTTCCGGTGTCGTGGAAGACGGCCCCGCACAACAAGTGAATCGTAAAAAGGCCAAGAGACGCGCGAAGGCGGCCGCCAAGGCTGCCGCTGCCGCTGCGGAAACGACGACTCCAACGGAGGTGGCTGGCGAGAGGACTATCAACGGCCAATCTCAAGCGACCCCTCGCAACGTGCCTGCCTCTACAACGGCATCGGCAAAGTACCAAATCGCACTCGACCCCGAGTTGACTGAAGACGAGGATCAAGATACGGAGGCGGGGCATGGTGGTACTACCAACGGTAACAGCCACGGCACGGCCACCGCGACCGCAACGTCGTCTGGTAAATCGAAGAAACATAAGAAGAAGAAGAAGAAGAACCACGACGGCACATCCTCGCTAGATGACTCCCGATTGGCCAGCCCATCGCCGTCAGGCGTCCGGCCATTGGCCTCGGCGCCGCCACGTGGTCCTGGTATTTCCAAAGAAAAGATTTGGGATACCGATTCCCAGGAAGAGCGGGAGCGCATCAAGGAGTTTTGGCTCGGGCTCGGCGAAGAAGACCGCAAGTCTCTCGTCAAAGTCGAAAAGGACGCCGTCCTGAGGAAGATGAAGGAGCAGCAGAAGCATACCTGCAGCTGCACCGTCTGCGGCAGGAAGCGCATCGCCATTGAGGAGGAGCTGGAGGGACTCTACGATGCTTACTACGAGGAGCTCGAGCAGTTCGCCAACCAGGCCGACGGCCCGCCGCTGCCGCGCGATTTCCCCGTCCGACCGTCTCGCATGCCGTCCACGTACGTCCGTCAACCGCCCTCGCGGGGCCGCATAGTCGAACACGTCGGGGATGACGATGACGAAGACGATGACCTCGACGAGGACGAGGACGAGGAGTACAGCGAGGGAGAAGAACTCGACGAGGACGACGAATATAGCGTAGACGAGCCTCCGGAGGACGTCCACCCGCACGACCGTGACATGGCAGATTTTCTGACCTTCGGAAACAGTCTGCAAGTCAAGGGTATGAAGATTCTCGACCTCCTGCTGCGCAGCTATGGTAACATGGACTTAGGCGGCATACTAACCGTGGCGGACGACCTGCTCAAAAACGACGGAAAGCGCTTCATCGAGATGATGGAGCAGCTGGCCGAACGCCGCATGGCTCGCGAAGAAGATGCCAAGGAGCACGTCACCCGCGTATACGGTCACCCCGCCGCCACTGCCCCGTCCGCGGCATCCGCCACCTCCTCCAACCCACCGCCCCATGGCAACGCCAACGCCGCCAACGCTAACGGCGCTGCTGCCTATCCCCCGACGCCGCTTGGCCAGCCTGCGCCCGACGACGAATACGAGGATGAAGACGACGAGGAGGAAGAATACGAGGACAGCCAGGATGATGAGTACGAGGATGAAGAAGTGAGCTCCTCTCATCACACCCATGACCATGGGCACCATTCCAGTACTGAGCATTACTGTTGCCACCATCAGGATACGATGACAGAGGAGCAGCGTATGGAAGAGGGTCGTCGCATGTTCCAGATTTTTGCTGCTCGTATGTTCGAGCAGCGCGTATTGACGGCTTATCGGAACATGGTAGCCCAGCAACGACAGAATAGGCTGCTCGAGGAGATCGACGAGGAGAAACGGAAAGACGAGCAGCGCAAGGCAAAGAGAGCTAAGGACGCCCAGAAGCGCAAGGACAAGGCGGCACTGAAGAAGCAGGCGCAGGCCGAGGAGCGGGCCCGCAAGGAGGCCGAGCGGGCAGCGGAGGAGGCGGCACGGGTCGAGGAGCAGCGACGGCGGGCCGAAGAACAACGGCTGAAGGCCGAGGGAAAGCGCCGCAAGAAGGAAGAGCAGAAGAGGCTCGAGGAGGAGGAGCGGCAACGCAAGGAAGCCGAGCGCCAGAGGCGACTGCAGGAGCAGGAGAAGAAACGTGCCGAGCAAGAGCGCAAGGCGCGCGAGGCCAAGGAACGGGAGAAGAAGCTGAAGGAAGAGGCACGCCAGCGCGAACGAGAGGCCCGGGAGCTGAAGGAGAAGCAGCAGCGAGAGAAGAAGGAGAAACAGGAACGGGAAAGGCGGGAGAGGGAAGCCAAAGCCAAGGCCGAGCGCGAGGCCAAGGCCAAGGCCAATGCGGCGGCTGCGGCGGCGGCGACAGAACGGGAGGCCAGGGAACGTCAGAAGCAAGAGGAAAGGACGGCTGCGGCGGCGGCGGCGCAGAAGGCGGCAGCCAGTGCGGCCGCGCCCGGCAATGCTGCTCCCACGCCCTCGTCCCCTTCATCGCAGCAACTTCGGCGGTCATCCCAGCACCCCGTCTCCGTGCCGAACATGGCCAACGTCCCGACGGTCCTACCGCAACATCCTTCCAACTCGGCTTACGCATCGCCCAAGGTGCAGGTCGCCACACCTGCTCTGCCCAAGGCTCCGACACCGATTCGCCCCAAGAACACGTCAACGTTGCAGGCGCAGTCGCAAGTCCAGGCGCAGGTGCAGTCGCAGGCGCAGTCGCAGCACGAATCGAGCGCAGCCGAGTCTTACATATCCCAGTCGAGCCAGTATCCTTCCCCCCATCCTGCCACACCGGCGCAGCACAGCCCTGCCCCGATACCTTTCGCACCCCATCAGCAGCATCAGCCGCACCAGCAGCAGTATCCACTGCAACATCAACACCAACACCAACAGCAGTCGCGGCGGAAGGGAAGCGGGATCCTCCCGCCAGGAATCGCGGCCCCGGGCCAGGTACCCTCGTCGGCGTCACCTCCGATCCATGGCAGAAGTTCGGCGGGCATTCCCACGGGCCCATACAGCGCACCCTCCGGCATGGCTCATCCTCCGGGGTTTAATATGCCAAACATGGCACCGCCCGGGCTACACCATCGCTTCCCGCAGGAAGCCATGTTCTCACCAGCCAGCGGTTTCCGGTCTCCTGGGATGATGACAGGTCCTCCGGGTCTTAACACGTCCGGTGGCAGGGGTTTCCCTGTTCCGGTTCAACCCGGGCCTTCGGGTTTCTCGCAACCGTTTGGCGATCCCGTAGCGGTTTCCGGACCGTCAGCAGCAACGCATACGCGACAAGCGTCGGGCGGGTTCGACACGGGATTGGTCGGAGTCGGACCGTCTCAGCCGATCAGCAGGCCATCGCCCATCGGTCGACCGGGAAGCATCGTACACGGGCAGGGAGCAGAACAGGCGGACGACGCATCGAACCAGCACCTTGGGAGCAGTGCCTTGCTAGACGACTCGGAGGAAGCTATGGCGGCATCGGCGGCGCGGCAACGGCGCCACGCCCCCGGACCGCCACAGGGATTTCCCAGCGCGCCGTTCGGCATGGATGCTCCGTTGCAGGTGCCAAACAACGTCTGGCCCAACTCGCAGGGGTTCGTGCCATTTGTAGCGTCGCACAGTCTGGCGAATCGGGGCAATTGGGGCAGCACGCTGGGACCACACCAGGCGATGTCGCCTATGGCGCAATTTCGGACGGCGGGGACCCCGCGATCGGCAGCAGTGCGTGTCCTCCTCTGCATGGCGTGCCGGAAACTGCAAGGCCAAGGCGGTGGCGATGACAACAGCGTGATCGACCTGAAGGAGGTGCTGGCCGAGGTCAACCAACTGAACAGGATAGAGGGTGTCAGCCGCGAGGCCGTCTTGGAAGCGGAGCTGCTTGACCTGGCGGACACGGAGGGCACTCCGCAGAATGGAGGCGGGTCTTTCGACGTGTGGCGCGACGTCAAGGGGCCCGGGATGCACACGATCCGGTGGGTGGCGGATGTCGGTACCGATGTGTCGCAGCCCCGGCGCGCCGTGGGGGAGATCGGCAGTCCCGTGGCAGGTTCCATCCAACCGGCACCGGTTCCTTCGCGAGGGCAATAGGAGCGTCCATCCGACGGGGGATCATTCTGGGCCAGGAAATTGCCTCAGCCGATTTCGGCGATACGGACAACGACGACAGGGGAATCGACGCCGGTACCATCGCAGGCAGCGGTCGGCGCGTCGTTTTGGCAAAGCACTCCCGCAGACCTGACAGCGATCCGTAATGCTGTGTTTGGGGCGCTGGACAACGCCCGGGGGAAAGTAGGCGGGTCGAAGGAAGACTTGAGCGCGGAAAAACAGAGAGACTCTTGAGTAGCGGGAGAGAAATTGGTGGAGGTTGAGAAGGGGAAAGGGGAAAAGGGGTGACACGTTACGCAGTCCTATGTTTCTTTTCGGGGTTTCTTTCGATCTCGCCATGGCTGCCCAACCTTGCCGTTTTCTCCCGCTTCTCCCCCCTTCGTCCGCAAGTTCTTAGTCTTTTACAGCGTGTAGAGGAATACGAAAAAAATAAGAGCGCTTTGTTTTTTTACGGAGTGGTTTTGAGGTTTTTTTTTTCTTTTTCTTTTTTTTTTTTGGGGGGGGGGGGGGGGGGGGGGGGGGGGGGAGGGGGGGGATGGTTCACAATAGAGGGCCTCTAATCACCGAGCTTTTTCTTTCTTTCCTCTTCTTCTTTTTATACCAACAGCGACGGTAACAGGAACTCGGCTACCACATTCACGTTGGTGTCTGCCAGGCTTGGCCATGCCTGGGGAAGAGACGGACATACGGGTGGATGGTGGATGGGTGGATCGACTGAGCAGCGAAGGGAGAGCGCAAGCGCTGAATAGTTGTACCGGGTCGCCTGCAGTGTACGCTAGACGAGGGAGAGGTAAGGCGACGCTCGACGGCGTGGTTTGCTTGGGTGTTGGTGAATAGAGAGATAAGTTCGCTTAGGAGAGATGCGCTGTCCTTGCTACGGAGCCCAGGTGTGAGGTGGCGGAACTAACATGATCAGAAACTATGCTATGGATATGTTCTTGGTCGTCGTTTGGGGTTGACATTCACAGGGGGTTCGATCTGGTACGCAGTGACATTGCGGCTTATACTCAATAATGGTAGGCTGAAGGAAACGGCCGTAACACGAGGTGATTAATCCCTGGATGTGAAAATGGGAGAAGATGGCGAGAGGGAGGTGTTGTTGTTGGTTGGACAGAACTTGGCTCATAGTGTGAGAAACGGGAGTCACGGTAACAGTAAATGAGAAGCCTGCCCGGCTAGCTCAATCGGTAGAGCGTGAGACTCTTACTAAGAGATCACCATCTCAAGGTTGTGGGTTCGACCCCCACGTCGGGCTCAATTCCTGACGGGATTCCAAATCCGCCTCGATTTTTTGTTTCCGTATATATATATATATTCTCCTTTTTTTTTTTTTTTTTTACCACCACTTTTTTGACCTTCTTATGGTCTCCTGCTGTGGCTATGACAGTGAATACGTTCTGTTCTTTGTTAAGATTCCTTTCATTTCATGCTCAGTTGCTCGTCTCGCCGTTATTAGGGGGTGCCCTGGCCCCTGGGAATGTAGTTGTAGTTTCGGCACCTGTCAGGCTGTCTGTCACCCCTTTCTTTTCTTCCTTCTTCTTGTAGTTCTCACTAGAGGCTTCCCTGGGTTGATTCATAAATACCTTGTCCCGAATGGGGCTTTCGTATAGTTCTTCAGTCGTAACTCATTATATCTATATATCTATTCTGTTCTACCGTTTCCTTTCCCCCTTTCCCCCTTTCCCCCTTTCCCCCTTTCCCTTTCCCTTTCCCTTTTCCGAGTCCGTTTCTTTCCATCTTCCTATATATAACCCAGTTGATCTAGTTCGCACAAAGATATAAAGGCTAATGCTAAAAGTCAATGAAAATATCCTGCTAAAGCCAGTGAACTCTCCAGCTCGGCGTATGGGGGTATCATGGTAACAACACTACGAGTCTTGAGTCTAACACCACACAGGCGGCAGGCCCCTGACCCAGACGTCTCGACTCACGACGACTCTGTCCTAGCCTCAGAAAAATGAGCCCCCCTCCTCTTCATGAACCGAGAACCCTCCCAACTACGTCGTCCCCACGAGAGTCCCCTCTTATTAGGCGTCCGCGGTGACGCAGACGCACCCTCCTCATGCGCCTGCCCCCGAACCATCTCAGCGCCCGCCCACACCTCAGACGACACCACACCGCTCGGCGGCGGCTGCAGCAGCCCGTAACCGCCCTTCAGGGACGCCGCCACCGGGTGGGCAGCAGGACCAAAAAGACCGGCATCCAGGGGTGGGCCGAACAGCGAATCCTCATCATCCGCCCAGCTCTCCGTCTCGGGTACGACAAATGGCGTGCCGGGGTGAGGATGGCCGTCCACGCTATCCGGCTCCTCGGGAACCGATCGCGGTGGGGGCTGGATCCGGCTTAGGAACGGCGCCGACAGGCATCCGCCCCCGACACCGTGACCGGCAGCAGCAGCGCCGGATGTCACGATCCGCAGCGGCGTCATCTGCAGGCCTCGCCTCAGGCCAAGCCCGCCGGTAGGTGTTGTCGCTGTCGTTGTCGCTGTCGCTGTCGCTGTCGATGTCGATGTCGATGTCGATGTCATTGTCATTGTCGCGTTCGCGGAGGTAGCCAGTGCGACGGCAGACGGAGACGACACGGCGCAGACCCCCTCCCCGGCGGTGCTCAGGGGACACCTCCCCCGCACGGGCCGCGACGACGCCCCCGGGAACGACGGCGGCGGCGGGTGCGCCGGGTCCGCGAAGGACGACGACCCCAGCGTGAACGCGGCGTGCAGCAGGCGGGGCACGTCGCCGAGGTGGCGCGTCTCGAGGAGCTTCTTCAGGTCGCCGCTCGACCGCGGCTGCCAGCGCAAGTGCGTCCGGACGGTCTTGTTCCAGCTGGCGGCCTTCCAGTCTTCCTTCAGGGCGGCCTGGCGGAGGAGGTTCTGCATCTGCGTGTAGTAGGTCCACTCCGACGGCGGGCGCGCGAGGGCTGGTTTGGTGACCAGGTGGGCGGCCACGTGGTCGAAGTAGCGGTCTGCCACGGCGGCGCTGTCGGATGCGTCGCGGGCTTCGAGGACGGCCTTGCAGCCTAGGAAGCCGCAGGCGAAGACGAGCTGTGGGCAGAGCTGCTGGCGGGCGGCGTCGGGGGAGACCGAGAGCGGTAGTGCGGGGTTGTGGTCGCGGTCCCGGTCGGCGCAGGGGTGTTCGGTCCGGATGTGGTGGACGTAGGCGCGCTCCACGTCGAAGACGGTGCGGCAGCCTGGTTGGGGGCAGGCCCAGAGGGAATCGGTCGGGTGGAAATTTTGGAGGTGTTTCTTGAAGTCGCTTTTGCGGCGGAAGCCTACGGCGATGTCGTAGACGGCGCAAAGGGGGCATTCGATCGGTTTTCGCGCAGCAGTAGAAGTCGTGGTAGTGGTTATTGGCGTTGCTTGCCCGCAGTGGGGCGAGGAAGACGGCCGAGGAGAGGGCGGGAAGGCCACGCGGGGGCTGCTTGTCGGGGCAGCCAGAAGAGAACGCGGTTTGCGGCTCGGTTCCAGATAGGGGCCGAGCAAAGGGGAGGCGCTCGAGGCAGTAAGCGGTTCGGCCCAATCGGCGAGGGCAACGGTGCCGGAGGGTGAGGTTGTTTCGGAGAGGGGAGGAGTCGACAGGAAGGCCGGGACGCCACCGGCGGCGACGGTATCATGCCAGGAAGCTACCGAGTGCATGCTTCCGTGGAATGAGGTGGCGTCGGAAGCGCAGAGGGAGTCATCGGATCGGTTCCATACTGCTGAGGTTACGGAGGGATGGCTCGATGTTGAGGATACCGAGAGGGTAGAGTATCGGGCTGTCATGTAATATCAACCTGATGTTAGTGGCAGATAGATCTATGGATGAGGTGGATAGGGAGGTAGGTTAAGATGGCGGTTTGTCTACTCACCCGACTCTTCCAGACTTTGTAGAGTTTGAATTAGGGTATTCACGCCATATTTTATGGCGAGGTTCTGGAGTATTTGAGCGTCTTGGGGGTTAACGCATGATGAGAGAGCGCCGCTGTCGGGCCATTCGTGTGAGACTATCGTTGCCATCGTCCAAGTCCAGGACGAGGGAATGTAGAAGAGGTTGCCAGGAGTAAGCGTGGTAGCGATGATGGCCAAGAGGCGGATGAGGAGGGACCCGAAAGAATGGGGTATGACAGTATGGTCGACAGGACCAGATCATACGGAGTAGATGAGTTGATTTGATCCAAGGGTCACTAATACACACATGCACGAGACGTGACGTGGGGAAGAGAAAGCACCGTGAATGAGTCCGGACGCAGCGGACACCGAAGCGAGAAGAATGGGCCAAAAAAATAAAACGGGGGCAGAGTAAGAGAGGTTTAGAAAAACACCGAGGCTCAAGTGGATGTATCATATAAACATAGCCCCGTGGTCAGCGGAATCATCCTAGAGGATCTGTGGATGGGCAGAAGGACAATGGTGTGGGGGGGAGGGCGGATGATGGATCAGGGAACCAATGGATCATGAAGTCAGTCTGCCTGAGACGAGATTAACGAAGATGACCGGAGAAAGAGAAAAACAAGAGTACAACGTATGATTCGAGGGCTGCCTATTCCTCGATGCCTTGCCTTTGTTCCTCTTCGAACCAATGCCGGGCTCGCCACCACGGCCCACCGTCACCTTGATTCCCGTGTGACCATGGCGTCGGGAACCGACCATCTGCGGGCCCTTCTAGAAAAATTCATTGTGTCCTGTGTCCAAGGGCATCGGCAGAGAGCGAGGAAGTGACAGGGCTACCGCGTGAGATGGGCGGCTCTGGCAAGTGAAAAATACGAATGAAAGACGTAAAACAAAGTGAAAGGAGTGGCTGGCGTTGCGAAGACCCTTTCTGCACTATTGATTCTAGGGACTTTGGGGTGACGTCCGGCAGCTGAATGATCCCCGTCATCCCTGTTTCTTCGGCTAGTCTGGTTATGGAATAGGGAATCAGCAACAGCCCAGGCGGCTTTCGACAATGGACCCATTTTCGCGGAGGTGCCGGCGTCGGAACCACGATGAATACCCCCTGTCCTGCAATGTCTCGGACGAGGACGAGGACGAAGACGACGACGACGACGCTTATGTGCGGCTCGAGTTGACAAAGACAAGGATAGGATCCAAGCAGTGAATGTGGATCGAGGACCTTATTAAGGGAGAACACGTACGCTGTGAGCCAAGCGGCACAGAATCCACCAGACGTTTATATTACCTTCGGAGTACACCGTACGTGATGCCCAACTACCTACCCTCTGTTCTGCGCCCTGAGGTTTGCGGCTACAATCTCCACATACATGTTGGTTCATCCAAACAGAGAAGGTGGTTTTCGTAAAGGGAGAAGCCAACAAGTCATTGTTCAGGGGAGATCCGAACGAAAGAAAGAGAAGGCAAGGAAAAAAGAAAAGGCTCCCCCCAAGAAAAAGAAGAAAAAAAAAAAAAAGGGCTGGGCGCCAAGTCCCAAAAGAATGACACTAGAACGACGCTAGAATCACGCTAGAACCCCTTCCCCCCCCCCCCCCCCCCCCCCCCCCCGAGTCTAGCCGGCGACTATTGTCCGTGGCTTGCGCACAGGCCACAATGGGATCGGCTCCTCCGTCCTCGGTAACGGAACGGTGCAATTCATTACCAAGTACTAATAATGACAGTACAAAATTCCCTTGTCCCAAAGAGTGTCTTTATTGATAGGTGCCGCCTCAGGCATGAATCGTCCTACTGACCGCTGACGTCCCGTCGACTTCTGATTTTACCCAGGACCCGACCTTGGGAAACCAGGTCGCGTCGTCCAAGATAAAAGAAGTCAACGGCACCGAGTAGCCGCTTATCTTTTACCGCTGCCGCCGTTGTCATACAGAAATGTGGCGTATGGCGTGCGGCGTGAAACCGCTTGTTGTTCGATCTTCATGCGGCACATCCCAAATTCATCCAAAATTTGCCAATCTCTATTTTTCTCCTCGCGGTCTGTCCAGCTCGACGGGGCGCCGAACCAACGGCTGTCTACCGTATCCAAGCCGATACTGCCCCAAAGCATGTATATGATATATCTGTCTATTTCTTGCCTGCTCCAGCCTAATGTACATCCATCCAGGCTCTTGATGGCCCGGTTTCCTTTTCCACTTTCCTCCGTCCCTCTTCTCTTCGAAGCCTATAAGAGTATAGCACTCGAGCTCTTGGTTCAGCTGCCACCGCTTTCGTCGATTCGTGAGTCTACCGTATCGGTGTGATAGATGGTAAGACGTGGGCGAAACGAAGAAGCTCACGGCTCGAGACAAACGCCAACAGCAAAGTCCCATGGGTATACTGGAAAAAGAAATAAAGAAAAATGGAAAGAACGACGTTTTGCGTGCCAGGCAGGTGCGTCCTGGGAGATACGAGATAGGCGACATGAAAGAAACAAAAAAGAGAAAAGGAAAAAAAAAGGAAAGGCGCGGCCGGCTTCAAATGATATACATAGGCCAAGAAAAAGGTATGTCTCGTTCGAGAGACGCGTTGTGCAGGCATTCGAAGTAGTGCCGATATGCCGCTGTAGTTTTACGCCGTAAAGACGGGGGCTTCGAAAACGTTTGCATCGAAGCGTGCCGGGAAGGCAGAAAAAAAGGAAAAAGAAAAAGAAGGAGAAAAAGAGAAAAAGAAAAAAAAAAGAAGAAAAAAGAAAAAAGAAGACAAAAAAAGGTCAAGCCCGCAAATCTTTAATAAAAGGCACCCGGGTGCTCGCCCATCACGCGCCCCTCCATAGCAGGCGCCACTATCGCCGTAGGTGCATGTAACGAGCCGTGATGATTCCCGTACGTCGACGAGAAATCCATCATGGCAGACGGGTCCTCCATCTCGACGTCGGGCGGTTCGGAAGCCTCGTTTGTCAGGTGTCGCAGGCCCTGGATGCCATCCGGCATGACCGTGCCGGGGGTGTGGTGCGGATGGGACCTGACGTGGGCGTCGTGGCGGGAGTACAGGGGCGACTGTTGTTCTTGTGGCACGCCGGCCAAGCCGTTGAAGAAGTGGCCCCGTTCGTGGCGGGTCGGCTGCTGATGTGGGTGAAGAGGCGGGGAAAGCTGTTGCGGATGACTACTGTGTGGCGATTGGTGGGTATGCGATGGGACGTGGTGGTGGTGGTGTTGTTGTTGTTGTTGTTGTTGTTGTTGTTGTTGTTGTTGTTGTTGTTGTTGATGATGATGATGAGTAGGAGGAGGTGGTGGAGGATGGTGATGGTGCTGCGCCAGCGGGTTCGATGTCGGCCTCGGCTGGTGCAGCTGCAGCGGGCGCATGACGCGCTGTCGGCTCGGGGCGTACACCTTGCGCTGGGAGGCCATGTACTGCGCCAGAGCCGGGTTCGCGCCGCGGGAGATACGGAACGAGAAGGGGTCCGTCGAGGCATCTTCGGGCGGCATCATCGCCGCCATCATCTGATGCCTCGTCTTGTGACCCGGCATGACGTGCTGGCAGGTATCGGCGACGGGGACGACGAAATCCTCCCGGAACTCGCAGGGCGCGTTCGGGTCCGAGCCGAGGACCATGGCGTACTGGATCAGCAGCTTGACGTCCCCGATGTGTCGGCTCTCGAGCCTTTTCCTCAACACGACCGACGTCTGCGGGTCCCAGCGGAGGTGACGGAGGTTGAGGTCGAGGCTGCTGCCGGCACCGCCGCCGCCGCCCCCGCCGTTCCAAGCCGATGCCTCGTTCCAGGCGCCGACGACGTGGCTCTGGCGGAACAGGTTCCGCATCCTGGCCGAGTAGGACCACTCCCCGCCGACGGCGCCGTCGTCAAAGTGCTTCACGACGTGGGCGACGTACTCCTTGAACACGGCGGCGGCGTCGTCGTCGCCGCGGGCCTCGTACAGCTGGGCGCATTTCTCGAAGCCGCAGGCGAAGACGACCTGCGGGCAGAGGTTGACTTTGGCCTCGTCGAGCGACATGCGCGACCCGCCGTGGGCGGCCTTGAGGTGGGTCTTGTAGGCGGCCTGCCAGTCGAAGACCATCTTGCAGCCGCGGTGTTTGCAGTGCCATTGGGCGTTGACGTTGTGGAAGTCCTCGATGTGGCGTTTGAGGTCGTTCTTGCGCGTGCATGTCTTGGTGATGTCCTCTTCCCTGCAGAACCCGCACATGAAGACGGTCTTTTGCTTCGTCGCGCTGGAGTGCGAAGGCGTTGTGGTCGTGTCGGATGCCGGGGTCGCGACGTGTGAAGAAGACGACGACGGGGTGTCATTCTGGTGGTGGTGGTGGTGGTGGTGGTGGTGCTGGTGGTCATCGGTCTGGTACGGAGTGGATTTTGTAGAATGGCCCGAAGTGTGAGTATGGGTTTGCGCGTCGGCTGCAGTGGCGGTGGAAGAGCTCCGAACCGCACGGTTGGTCGATCGACGGGTTAAGAGTTTGGCGCCGCGCGAGACGTTGGAGATGATGCTACCGGTGATGGACGACGCGTCGGATGAGAAGGTCCTCACGCTTTGGGTGTCCCAGATGCTGGATGAATCGTCGGAGAGGATGGAAGATTGCGCGGCACTCGAAATGATGGATGCTCCGTCAGATTCTTTTTTTTTTTTTGGCCTGTTGTCAGTGTAAAGGCGAGAGAGGGGTGGCGGGTTCGAGGGCAGGCGATCACCACGAAGAAGAAAAGGGGGAAGCGAATTTAGGATAAAATAATGACAAAATAAAATGAAGAGGCAACAAAGGGGGATGAGAACTCACGAGGTGTCAGCTCATCCCGAATCAGTTTGCTTAGTCCATTATGACCATAACGACTCAACAAATGTTGAACCATTTGTCGGTCCAACACATCTTGATGGTCTGACGGTGAGACCTGTTGTCCACTCTGCTCAGAGGAACCATCGGTCCCGGGCCAAGACGATGTTGCGGACATGATGGGCGGTCATTCACCCCCAGGATCCGACGACGCCGCTTCGTCGGGTTCGGGGTTGGGTGTTTCTGGGTCGGGGAGCGGGCGCAGGCGGCGGACAGGCGGGCGTGGGGCTTCTGTTAGTGGACAACAGGCAACCCAGGCCCTTCAAAGAGCAAGCGGCGACGGCGACCGCTCGTCCAGAATGCCAAAAGACGGGGCGCCGGGAGGGGAAGTTTTTTTTTTTTTTTTTTTTTTTTTGCGACGGCGCGGGCGCTGAAAATGGCGGGGGACTAAAAGAAAGAAAAGAGGGAGAAAAGGGGCGAAACGAAAAAAGGGGTGGGAAGGGGAAAGAAGCCAAAAAGAAGAATCAGCGAATGGCACTGGCAAGGGCACTGGCACAGGACAGCAGGCTATGTAGACTCGATGGATGAATGAGAAGAAGCAAGCCGAGAGAGACAAGTCTACTAATGGGCTGGCCCAAGGCCAAGGGTGACAGGGGGGGGGGGTTGGTTTCTCCTGGGATATGGCGCCGAGGAGCCAAGCGGGTGAGACAGCGGCGACGCACCGCACCAGACACCAGACTGCTGATCCCAGTCTTCCGTATTCGTAATAACAAATGAAAAAGACGTCAGGAACCCCCCGATAAAGTCTTCAGATGGATTCTAACCGTCCGTGGCAACGTTAATGAGGGAGAGGAAAGGATCGTGGTGGGGGGGGGAGGAGGAGGACGAGGACGAGGAGGCCAGAAAAGGGTCTAGGGTCTAACATGTATAAGAATAACAACTACTTCATGGGAATGCGTAATAAGGCTAGGTAATACGATCCATTTCCCCAATTTACGGATAGCGTGGGTATATGTACGTGGTGAATCGTGATGGTGGTCTCCCAAGATGCAAGCTGCAACACGATGATAAGGGGGAAGTGCGGGAAAGGGAAAGCACTGCTCACCAAATAGGAACTCGAGCCCAGTAATAAAAAGTACCCCTTGATGGGCGATGCGTGTGCAGGGTCTCCAATCTGATTCGTCCACGCCATGATAATAGATCTGGTCGTCGCAATGCCAGTCTATTCGTATCGAGGTGAAGATGGATAAGATAATGCCATATATGTAGGTGTTGCGTTCAGCTTTTCCCACAGTTGTTTTTTCTTTTCTTTTTTTTTCTTCTTCTTTTTCTTTCAATTCTTCCCCGGCATCCGTCGCACAAGAGGGGGAGGCTTCCAACTTTTACGTGATACAAGACGGTGATGCCATCGACGATGCTGATAACAAGCTCCTTGGGGGCGGACCCGAGGCGAAGCAATGGCCCTGCCCTTTTAACAGGCCACATCCCGGTCGTTGACAGGACTTGGGGGTACGGAGTACTTTGAACTCTATCAGCCGCTGCCGTGAGTCAGCTTTATCATTAAGGCATGTAATACAAAGTACAAAGTACAAAGTACAAAGTACGCCACGTAAGGTACCTTACTTTGTACAGGACATCAACCTTCATTTCCTTTTTTTTCGGACTTTATTTCTTTACTTTTCGCTTTTGCTTTTGTTTATTTCTGAGATGGCATCGGCGAAAGTCAGTTGGACCTTTTTTTCCTCCTTTTTTTTTTGCCCTTTTTTGCCCTTTTTTGCCCTTTTTTTTGCCCTTTTCATCCGCCTTCTCTTCCGCCGTCTCTTACTTTTCCTAAATTCACACCCTCCCTCGACGAATCGGTACTTCACACCGGGGTGGGAAGATCAAAAGATAACGCCCCGCCGTCCCAACGAATCACCGACCCGCCCATATCGAGATCATCGGGTCTCCCCGTATCTCCATGCCCGGGACAAATCCATTGGCCGTTTTCCAGGTTTTGATGTTCTGATATGTGACGCGAAAGGCAGGCTTCCAGAAGAAAAGGAGAAAAAGAGTGCTTGCAATGGCTTATTAGGTTTGTCTCTCGATTAGAAATAAAGATACCTTGGACCAGGGAAACTCGAGGTACGTACTGTCCCGTCCAGGTTCCTGCAGAATCCTTACCCTAGATAAAACGGTAGCAGCAGTTCCCTGACGGTCCTGCAGGTTATACCTGTACACAATTATCTCGATCAATTTACCCTTCAATTTTGACCCGATTCAACGGTTACGGTTACGCTGTATCTGACAGGGGGCGGAAGACCGCGACTCCAGAAAGACGGCCCATGCATAACGTATCGTGTTGTATCGTATCGTATCGTATCGTATGCCACGATAGGCAAACGTCCAAGACCGTTTAATGAATTCACTGCCTGAACAGGCAGGTAAACGGAACGCAAGCCCGCCTGATAACGTATCTGGTGGCAAAAAAAGAAAAGAAAAATTCCCATCGATTGCCCGCCGTTCATACCGCAAGAGACCCTTCTTCGACCACGAATAATGCACTTCCGCTTCCGGGCCCACTCTCCACCATGGCCTCCGCCCTCTGCTCGGCCGTCAGCTCCTTCTTGGAAAAGTACTGCCCCTCCCACGCCGCCTTGACGGCCTCCACCTTCTCCTCCGGCACCAAGTGCACGCTGCACCCTCCCCACCCGGCCCCGGTAATCCGGCTCCCATAGGCCCCGGCCTCCAGGGCGATGCGGCAAATCTCGTCCACCTCGGGGTGGCTGTTCTCATACACATCACGGCACGACGCGTGCGTCTCGTTCAGCAAGGCTCCGAGCTTGGCGTTCAGCGCCGTCGTGTCGGGACTCCGATTCTCGCCCGCCGCCCCCGAAGCAGCCCCCTCGACGAGGGCCAGGAACTCGAGCGTGCGCAGCGCCTCACCGTAAACGTGCAGCGCGCGCTGCCGCAGCTTGAACCGCTCGGCCCGGATCGGGATCTGCGTCGTGAACTGCGCCTCCAGCTCCGCCACCGTGAGGCCCAGCACCGACGCCACCTCCTCGCGCGTGTAGCCTTCTTCCCGCGTCAGCGTCTCCTTGGCGAGCCGGATGAGCTCCCTGAGCTGCCCTTCCTGCGTGCGCCACTCCGGGCCCTCCCCTCCCTCAGGGGCCCGCTGGTGGTAAAAGTACGTCTCGTGGAACCCGTGTAGGCTGGCGCCCAGCGGGCTGTTGTCGGCGGGGAGCTGGGTGCCAGGCGGGTTGAGGACGGCGTGGAGGTACGAAGCCGCGAGGGTGCACTCGACCACGCGGAGGTTGTAGTGGATGGGACCGGTGACGTACTTGTTGGACGTGACGAACGATTGGGCGACGAGGAAGACGAGGGACGGCTTGGCGGTGGGGAAGAAGACGGGACGAGCGGTGAGTCGGGGGACGAAGGAGACGAAGAGGGCGGCGCCGCGTTCAGAAAAGACTGAAGCCGACTGGTCCATGCTGGGAAAGTGGTGTCAGCCGTCAGTCGTCAGTCGTCAGCCGCCAGCCGCCAGCCGCCCGTCGTCCATCCTCAAGTCGCTGGGAATATGGGGACCTACCCTCCGGAGTTGACGCCAACGGCCCGTTCACTCACGATGGCCAGTTCGGTGAGCTCGGTCTTGTCGACCGCGTCGTGCCCGTTGGCCTTCATGACCGCGAGAGCGGAAGACGTGACAAAGGCGGCGCTGGAGCTGAGACCGGCTCCGATGGGCACGGCACCGTCCACGACGATCTTCATGCTTTTCGGGCGAAGGCCAAGGCCCGCTGCCTGCTCGTTCTTGTGCTCTTTCTCGTATTTCGTACGCAAGAGCTCGAGCGCACCGCGAAGGCCGCTCTTGAAGTAGTTGGACCATTCGTGCTGGGTGGCGTCAATTTCGACCGGGCCGTCTACTGGAACCTCGAACTCTCGAGTTGGGTATTTTTCGGGGTGAATATTGGATATTTGGATCGTAAAGGTCGAGGACGACGTGTTGGACGACGGGTCGTCGTAGGCCGAGACGGCGAGGATGGTGTCGGCAGTGATGGCCATGGGGAGCACGGAATAGAGGGAGTAGTCGATGTGTTCGCCAATGATGTTCACACGGCCGGGAGAGCGAGAGACGAAGTCGGCCGGGTGGCCATGGAGGCCCTCAAACGTGGAGAGGAGGGCGCTCCATCTCTTGGACTGGGATGAGAGGGTGTCTTCGGGGTAGATGTCTCGGAGAGAGCGGGCGACAGGCACGGGGCCGGCCATCTTGGCGTACCTCAGTCAACGAACTGTCGCCTTGGTCCTTGATTGCTGACGGAGTAGGAGAAGTGAGAGAGGGAGAGAAGAAAAGGAAAAGAAGAAGAAGAAAAAAAAAACCCCCCGACGAAGAGACGAAAAATGCAAGTGAACAGGCTGCTCTGCCAACGGGCCCACGATGTGACTTTGATGTCGGGTGCGCGGTGCGCGGTGCGCTTGTAAGGTGTGTACGGTGTAATTACCTGTGCAACCCCCCTGACCCCGCGATGGACGTTGGGCCTGAAGCAGCGACAAATAGTTGGTCTTTTACCCCGCAATGGGCCACCCTGCAGTACTTAAGTACATAATCAGTGTTCTGTCGGTGGCGGACTACCTAAGGTACCTAGGTAGGTAAGACGAACAGAACCCCCGACTGTATGATCGCTGACTCGGCACAACGTAGTGAGTAGGTTGCGTGGAAGTTTGATTACTAGGTCGTTCGTCAGACAGACATACCACAGACCTCAGAAGTTAGATCTTGGCACTAAAAACAATCTTCACTTCAGTTGTCCCGGTATACCGGTGAGCTTCCTCGATGGAAAAGCAGTGCCTCGCGACAACATTAGCCCGCACACCGAGACTGTGGTTTACAGAGGGGAAATGTATCCGAAAAGATCATTGGCGGCTTAGCCTATGGGATGACATTATATTTTAAAACTTATGACTTAAGTGTCAACTTGACCGTTGCCAGTCGTGGTTGACATGTCCATAGTCCAATACCCCACGCGACTGTATTGAGAAGCCTGGTCACCGATTCGGCGCAGACAATCATGTCGCTAGCGAGGCGAAAGGAACAAGTTACAACTTGAACGAGTGTTATTCCTCCCGTATTATGATGAGTAGTCGTACTGTGCACACTCTTTTAATCATCCATGCCCCCAAATTATCATACGTTTCTCAGTCCGCTCGCAGTCTCGAGATCTCAAGATGACCTCTCTCGACTGGAAGAAGGTCGTTTATTTTTGCTGTGTTTGTCAGTCACAAGCCCTGAAAAAAAAAATGAAAAAAAAGGAAAAAAAAAAGGAAAAAAAAAAGGAGAACAGAGATGGCAGGTAGACGAGAGAAGACGTACGGGCCGTACGGGGCAGTTGGGGCAAGTGCAGCTGCTGCCGCAGTTGCAAGTGCCAGTGTTAGAGCATCCGCAGTCGCCGCCCATGTTGACGAGTTATAGATTGAGAAGGTTATTGAAGGTTATTTCTGAAGTTGGTTTGCGTACAGATGGAATAGGATGGATTGAATGTTTCAACTTGAAATGATCGTAGTCAAACCACTGACAAGGTCGCTCGAGCGGTCTTATATAGGCTCTTCGCATCCCGGAAGTGACGTCGATGAGTTGGATCAGACGTGCACTATTTACCAATGCGGGTAAGGTAGGAACCAATGAATACAGTATAGATGCCTTGGCTGCCTCATCCAACAGAGTGCCCTTTGTTTCTGATCGTCTCCGTCACTTTATTATTACGTGTACCTACCTAGTGGAAGGAGCTGGGGAAGATCGTTACGGATAAAACGAGATTCTAGCATCTCCACATGGTATCGCCACCGGCCGTAACGGATTGGCCTTGGAGGAGACTAAGATACCCTAAAATGTGGGGTAGGACAATAGTCAGGGTATATAAGTGCAAAAGTGATGAAGAATCAGCGCTGGAGTCGGGTCGGCCTACTGAATTAGTTTCTTGCCTTTTACCAGAAACTACCATGGGTTGCCCGCCTAACTCCATATCTAATCTTTGGAACCCAAACGCTCTGCGTTCGACTCAGAGTTTTGCATTTTTTTTTCTCTTTTTTTTTTTTCTCGCTGAAACGATCTCAATTTTGATTTTAAAGACCCGCTGTCGACTTGCTCTGCCACAAAGATGTGTCCCACGCATGCTGTAGCAAAGGAACATGAATCCAGGCATCGCTTTTCGTGTTTTCCTTAAGTATATTCGCCCTCCCTCCGTATGACCGATGACCGATGACCGAGTAGCCCTACCGCCCTTCCGTTTCCTCGCCTAGCAGACGTGACTCGTGAGCCATGGTAGGATGCATCACAGTCTAGTCAGTCCATGTTGCGATGGTTGCCATTCTTGACCGATAAAGATACGGCCGCGTGGCTTTGACATCCGGAAAGTGGTCTCATCAATGCATCTCGTTCGCGATTCCAATCTAGCCTTTAAATGTCAGCGTGGTTGCTGGCTTCCCAGGACGATTCAAACATACCTTACTTACCAACCATACTTCTCATCCAGTGCCTTACCGACCAACAGGTATCGTATCATCATATCATCGCTAACACCATCCACAGCATCACTCATACCAGCACGTCTTCGGCCGATCATCCGACTCCTTCGCCTTCCGGACCAACTCGTCCCTCGCCCGTCGCGTGGCGACCACATCATCATTGGCGAGCATCAGCACGCTGACCCCCAACCAAGACTGCATCACCGGCCGCGGCACCACCCCCGCCATGGCCGGCCGCACATTCTCGTACGCGAACCCGAGCAGCTCGGCCGTGAACCTTCCCACGTCGAACTGGTTGAACGTGTGATCCGTGATGCCCTGTGTGCGCGCCAGGTGGCGCCTGGCGCGCCAATACGCCATGGCCGCCCAGACGTACGTCCGCCGGGCGGGCGGCGCCGACGCCGCCGTGAGCCAGTCCAGGTACCGCTCCATGTACGGCGCGACGTGTTCCGGCACGTGGATGACGCGGACCAGGCCGACCAGCTGGGCCAGCCGCCGCACGTCTTGCACTGGGACGCTGTCGTACTCGTACTCGACCGGTCGGCGCCGCAGTTGCCGGAGTCGGTACATCGTCCCGATGTCCCCGCGGCGGGCGTCGACCCCGGCCCCGACCCCGACCCCGACCCCGCGGTTCCAGTATAGGTCCCAGTGGAACTCCTCGCCGTACTCGCCGTAGGCGGTGCCGAGCTCGTAGTTGGCGTAGTGCACGTCCTTGGGGAGTTGCGATGGGTACTTGTGTGTGGCCCGGCCTTGGAAGATGGGGAGAGGGATGGATATGGCGATGTAGAGCGCTCCTGGCAGGAGGTCTTGTTCTACTTGTCTCGGGTGCGTCTCGGGGTCGAAGATGGTCGTCGGCTTGTATAGCGTCATGTTGGGCAGGTAAGGGCAAGATATCGTGGGGTGGGCATGGCACTGTGATGGCGATGTTAATCTTATCCTTTTGATGCCAAGCTGATTTGCGAGTGAGATGCTGTGTCGGTGGCAGGGAACAAAGGTATCCAAGGTAAATAGAACCCGGGGTATTATGTGTGCTGGGGTGAAGTATCTGGTCTGTTGATCTCAGGAAGGGAGCTGAACAGAGTACGGAGAAAAGCTTTGCTGTTAATAGGCCCGCCTCCTTGGTTTAGGAAGGAAGGGTAGGTTATTACAATAAAATAGTAATATTCCAGGAAGGAACTTGCCTCCATTCCTTAAATTCTCGTCACCTGTGTAAAAGGCAAAGGCACATGCTCCTCTTGGGCGAATTCACCACCATCAGCTGACTACGAAATAGAGCAGTGCCTGCCCTGATAAGGAAGGCACGTTGAAGTGATGATCTGGCCTTTTAGGAAGACTGGTTCATGATCATGTATTCACTATGTGCTGTGGCACCAAACGGGATGAACATGCCAGGACGTTTGTCGGTGTAACTCATGTGTTTCCCGCGGCGGGTGGCTCGCTCCACAGAGCATCTTAATACAGATGTAACCATTCAAGACTTTTTCAGATTGGCTCTGCCTGAATCAAGTACGACTCGGAATATCGCTTGATCGAGGTTGTGACCTGTTGTCCGGCTCCGACTGGCACGATGCGGGTGTGCGCAAAGAGCATGCCTAGGCCATGTTCATCTTTTCATCAACACAGATCAATGTTGTACTTGTAGCAGAAGGAAACATGGGCATTAGCATGACGTTCTAATTCCGTCCAAGTCACAGTTTCAAATGCTTCATCTCGGGCCATCTGGTTGTACCCATAGTCGCCTCGTCATGGACGTGGTTTGGAGATGGAGTACGGAGTTATGTAAGCGCCGCCACTGAGTCACGCCACAGCGCCACAACTCCAACCACTTGTGATGCTTCCATATACCTCGGTATCACTCCGCATTTCGGTACATACCTTACGTAATACGTCCTAATTACCTTACTCATTAGGAGTCAGCCTGAACCTTGAAGCGAAGGCCGGTCGGTTGTGTGATGTCAACGGTCCCTGAAATGCCTGCCTCATACATCGTCATCTCGCCGCTCTCAAGCTTGGATTCTTTTGTGATTGCAACTTTACTGACATCTATACTGAGTCTGGGAAGGAAGGCGGAATCTTCACCACTATCACGCAGATACACGAATTTTATCCATCCGCTATCGTCTCCGTCTGGCATGGTCTACCCAATCTAGAACCCCCCCCCCCATTTCTTGGGATTCCATCCCCCCCTCGACAACCACTGACGTCCGGCGCGCGTTGGGACGAATTTTCGACCGGATAATACGGGACCCTCCGATTCCTCCGTCCCGTCCATCTAGTTTACCTCTTTCACCTTCAACATGTCTCCCGACCGCGCCGATTCTGCTCCCGAGGCATCAGCACCAGGGCGCTGCTTCGTCTGTCTTGGCGACCAGGAGGGCTCGGACGAATGGGTCAACCCATGCCCATGCTCTCTCGAGGGCCACCAAGAGTGCGTGATGAGCTGGATCTCCGAGCTGGAGCGCGAGAACAAGCCCTTTGAGTGTCCCATCTGCAAATCGAAAATCACCGTCGACGAGCCTTTCGACCCGGCCCTCGCCATCAGCAACAGGATATACAAGGCCTTCAGCAGCGTGTCGCCGTTGGTTCTCTGCAGCGGCGCCCTGTCGGGCCTATACGTGAGTCTGACCGCGTACGGTAGCGCCGCCCTGTTGGTCTTCGCGGGACCTGAAGGATACGCCCGGTTCTTGCTCACGGGGGATGCGGACCGTCCGGTCTTGAGCCTGCGTTACATGAGCTTACCCCTCATCGCGCCGGCGTTGATCGTGGGTCAGACTCTCCCGTCGCTGGGGAATTTCTTCTTCTTGCCCCCGACGTCCATAGTGAGTTTTCCTTTCCTTTTTCCTCTTTTCCAGAACTAGAATCACTAACAGAACGCAGTACGGCATGTTCAGCTTGGCTCACGACGAGAATTTCATATCTTGGCCACCCTCACCAAGCCTCGTCTTCGCCACTTTCCCATGGATCCGTGCCTTCTACCGCAATCTTTGGCGCGAATTCATCCGACCTTTCGAGCTGAGGCTTGACAGGAGGATAGCGGGCTTACCGGAACGGGAGCCGCAGGCGAATCAAGGACAAGGGCAGGGCCAAGAGCGGGCGAGAGACGACCAAGAACACAACGGCGGAGGAGGCGTCGGCGGCATCGTGGGGTTTCTCGACGCGGCAATCAACCTCCTAGACATTCCCGACGTGGACCTGAACGTGGAAATACAGGAAGATGTGCTGCAGCCGGGAGAGGAGGACCATCCGTTGGAGATGGAGATGGAGATGGAAATGAGGGTGTTCGACTTGGAGTTTGACACCGACGACGAAGAACAGGCCGAGGCAGTAGAGGCGCTCGCAGATCGTGCCGCCAGGGCTGCCAATGATGGAGAACAGGGCGAGAACCAAGTGAATCGCGAGGACGATGCGGCGCCCGCTCCTGTGGTCCGCCCGGCACAGGCAGAGGCGCAGGATCAGGCGCAGGATCAGGCGCAGGATCAGGCACCAGCAGAAGCGCCAGCAGAAGCGCCAGCGCCAGCGCCCGTCGTTGCTGGACCAGCCGACGGCCAACGGCAGTGGAACGTCCACACCAGTCTCCGCGACATCGGCAACTCGCTTGCCGCATCACTTCTCCTGCCGGCCATATCTGCCGGCGCAGGCGAGCTGCTCCGCCTCGCTCTTCCCCGACACATGACGACGCCTTCACTTTTGAGTTGCCGCCGGCCCGGTCTGCTACAGGAGATGTGGGGTCGGAGTCTAATCGGGGGATGCATTTACGTGGTACTCCGCGATGCGTTCAGGCTTTACACAAAGTATCGCAGGGCCGTAAACAAGCCGCTGCGTAAGGTACGGAGTGTGGAAAGGAGAAAGGGAGGGGCCACTGCCTCTTCATCATGGCAAAATTGAATGAATCCGAGTGTCCGTATGGTGTACCTAGTCCTATGGACACTGGAATGCAGGTAGGGGCAGGGGCAGGTGTAGGTACGCCCATGGATGACACATACGTGTAGGACAGGATAAGCGTCTGGAGCGGGCGGGAATTCTTAGCTAAGAGCGATGACGGGTCTTCGCTGTAATCAAATCTTCACATAATGACAACAAAAGCGCCAAAGATGACACGGTAGTTCAGTGAAGAATGTTGCCTCTCCTGAGCCTGCCCCTTCCTCTGAGATACATGGTCACGTGTTACCATATGTTTTGTCATGCTACGTCTCGGCCAATTACATGTCAGGGATAGATAAGGATTTGACAAGGGACTGTCATCTGGCCCCGCCTCCGGGGCTGTGGTACTGTGTGCGTGGTTGTCGCTCCTGGGATAGAACCTTCCAGTTGCAAGCCGTCACCGACAAGGAAAACATATCCGTACCGATCTACGGAGTGCATTCTGACATCAAGACATTCCCGACGAGGAGCTTCCAAAGGACATTTGCACCGTCACCGTCTTCCTGACCCCTCACAAACGGCCTGTTCAAAATGGTAAGTCCTCCAGGATCCCTCCCCACTCCCCGTGATGCTATCTGTGCCCAGAGCAAGAGTTCTACACGTGTACCTCAAACTTGTGATGTCCTAGACCCTCATCCCCTTTCTATTTCATGACCACTGTGAACTGGAATCACTGACTCATGGAGTTCAACATACAGGCCACGACTTCGAAGCAACGCCTGGCGCTGGCGATCTGCGACTTCCTCTCGAGGTCAGCCAATGATGGCACTCTCCCCGCGGATGACAAGGAATCCATGGACGTGGCGATCCAGTGCATCGCCGACTCGTTCAAGGTGGACCCGAACGACAAGAAGGCGATAGAGGACGCCGTGGGCAACCAGAACCTGGCGCAGATCTACGGGGTGTACGAGAAGCTCAAGAAAGCGACGCCGTCCTCTTCCGGTAGCAGCAACCCGACAACGTCAGCGTCGGCGTCGTCGGCGTCGGCGTGGGCGTCGGAACCGACAGAGGAGCAGAAGAAGGAGGCAGACGCGCTGAAGAGCCGCGGCAACGCGGCCATGGCGAGCAAGGACTACGCGGCGGCGGTGGACCTGTACACGCAGGCGCTGGCGGTCACGCCCCGCAACGCGGTGTTCCTGTCGAACCGGGCGGCGGCGCACTCGGCGGCACGGGACCACGAGCTGGCGCGGGCGGACGCCGAGGCGGCCACGACGCTCGACCCTTCGTACACCAAGGCGTGGTCGCGGCTCGGCTTGGCGCGGTTCGCGCTGGGCGATGCCAAGGGCGCGGCCGAGGCGTATCAGAAGGGCATTGATGCGGAGGGGAACGGCGGCAGCGACGCCATGCGCAAGGGCCTGGAGACGGCGAAGCGAAGGGTGGCGGAGCTGGAGGCCGAGGGGGCGGCGACGGCTCGTAGTGCGAGCCCCGGTGGTGCGGGTGCCGGTGCGGGTGCGGGTGCCGGTGGCATGCCCGATCTGGGCTCCCTGGCGAGCATGCTGGGCGGCGGGGCCGGTGGGGGCGGTGGCATGCCCGACTTTGGTCAGATCATGAACAACCCCATGTTCGCGAGCATGGCGCAGAATCTTATGAGCAACCCCGACCTCATGAGCAACCTGATGAGCAACCCGCGGCTCCGGGACATGGCGGAGCAGTTTGGCAGTGGAGGTGGTGTGCCGGATATTGGGAGCCTGATGCAGGACCCCAGCATTGCCGAAATGTAGGTTCTTCCCACCCCAACTCTCCACCTATTCCCCACCTTTCTTCTTCCGCTCCTGTTGGGAGGGGTTGATTTACTGGCATGATATGATAAATACTAACGTCAACGTCTACGAACAGGGCGCGGTCTATGATGGGCGATGGCGGCGGCCCTGGAGCTGGCCCGAACAATGGAGCTGGTCAGGGTGGATCGGGTGGACAGTGAAGCAAGTTTAACCTTTGCCTACGACATACGGGCGATATGCGAGAATGCGTCAATGAATATAACCAAGAGTTGCTGCGTTCTAGTGTAGCATTCAAGTAGGCATGGTCTCGAAAAGGTTATGGCTTTGCGGTTGGGCCCCTTTCCCTCCTAGGTGCTTTTGTGATGTGGTCGCCCCACCGTTTTACGGGCAAAATAGCATTCTGTACGGGCGCCTGAGTACCTTAAGGCCCTAAATTAATACTTACGGTATGTAGTCCGTTATACCTGTAATTGCAATACCTTGCCATCCGTATGTCATCCTTCACTGCAACTGTCTCTCTCACATCACCCGGCCATAATGGATAGACCGCGTCCCAACCCCATTTAGCTCGAAGACTACGCGTATCGGCAGTCAAAGATTATCGACTACACCTTGGGCAATGCCAGACTCGAGGCTCGATGTCCGCTCGACAACGGCCGTCACTCCCTACAACCGACGCATCCAGTGGGCCAACTAGATGTGCTTTCCCTGGAACTTATTGTCGACATACTTCTTAGACTGGATCTGCCGACGTTGACTTACCTCTCGGCGTGCGAATCACCGTGCAATGAGCCTCGTCGATTCACTGCATCATTACAGAATGGTGTTTGATCACTGCCCCGACGTCCTTCGTGCCGTTATCAGCATCGAAGCAGATCACTTTGACTGCTGGACCCTATACAAGACACTCACCACCAGCGAGACAACACGACAACAGAGGCTCGACGGTATATGTCCATCATTTCATCACCCTATCTCGATGCCTCCGGTCAATCAGCCGATTGGGGTTTCTATTGCGCTAAGTGCGGGGACAGTAAGGAGCTGGAGATGAGTTTCAGGAACAAGTATGTACGCGTACAGTTGTACACGGACGTACGGAGAAAGTACGGAGTTCCTTGGCCGGGTCGCTTAGCTGAGAATTATGGGGCTGTGGCTGTTCAGACCCATTGCGTGGCAGCGCCCAGCCACCATTGGGGCTGCCAAGTGTGGTCCCGTCCATGGACTTACGTCATAAGATGGTGATTGTCATCTACACTGTAATTCTCATCCTATCATCCCATCCCCCTTCACCCCACCCCGGGCCTTCATCCGCTAAGGCCCCATCTGTTAAGTCCTTGGAGTGTCGGAATAGGTACGGAGTATATTCTACAAATACGCATCTCTTTTCCCGCCTCATACACCCCCATTCACCGTTGGCAAAAAGGAAGGGGAAAAAAGAAGAAAAAAAAGGGAAAAAGGGGGGGGGGAGGGACGGAAGCCATATGATCCCCAATTTCCCGTCACGGCACCGTTGCTGTGAATAAGCAGAACATACACCGCCGACATCCGAAATACGCTCCGTCCGTCGCGTCGTCTTGACAAGACAAACGTTGCGTCACGGCCCCTCGGCGGCTTGTCTTGGCAGCCAGTCGCGTGCCGAAACCGAGCCTCCTGGAGAGAACACGAAGAAATTGAATGACGGATGGCCAAGACGGTGCCCTGTTTTTTCTTCTTTTTTTCCTTTTTTTTTTTCCTTCGTTGTTCTTGTCTTGATCCGTGCCAGTTCCTTATCCTATTCTTATGAAGCAACCATGCTCCTGCCCTTTTCCTTCCCCAGAACCCCAGTTGAGCCTTCCTCTTCGATTTTCTATGAGGATGAAGACTCAAGACGCGCCACATGTGCTCTGTCCTCGTCTTCTGGGACTGCTTACTTCTTGAGCCTTGACCAGGCCTCCCATTTCCCACTGCCGTCGTTCAGTGTCTCGAGACTCGGGTCATCAAAGGGAGTGAAACTGTGAATCAAGAATATCAACACCGAGAAGACGGGGCTGATGAAAGATTCGTCCTCTTGGATATATCTCTAGGCTCTAACTGAGCTTTCATATACTTCTTTTCTTCATATTTTTGCTTTCATCTTTTCTCTACCAGAATCGGACGGGTCTTCTGGTCTCCCTATCCCAGACCATCACCTATTCGAACCGAATCCACGCATATAACGACGACATGATCAAGGACAAAAGCCGTCGCACATGGAGTTCTTTTTCTTTCCACCCTCGTCGGAGGGCCCCTGGCTCCTGGCGCCTCAAGCCTCCTTCCCGCCTGGCCTCGAGGTTACTTGCCCTCGTTGGTTTCGTCGCCCTCTTTCATCTCGTCGATTTGCATCTGCACTTCAGAGAGGCTCTGCGCGCCAAATATCTACCGACTCGCTTCACCCTCCTCTCCGCGGAAGACGAGGCGCTTCTTTCCCGACCCGGATGGGTTCATCAAGACGGCCCATCGCAACCGACGGAGAACATCGACAGAGAGGTCCTATTAGCGAACCGCCAGGAGTGGCGTAGGTTAGGCGGTGGGCGCGAAGGCGAAGCGTTCGTGTACGACGGCTCCGTCATCAAGATATATAACGACGGGACCTCGCCCTTCCGAAACTGTTTTCCCGGGGATGCGACGTCATTACCATGGCCGGCAGAAATCCCGGCTACTTTGTTGCTCGGTGGATTTCAAGGCTATCAAGAAGGTACAGATGAGGATGAGGATGAGGCTTCCATGTTCCGCTCGGGTTTCATGCCGGTGCGTGACTACTTCCTCGCTTCCGTGCCCGCAAGTCACGGGGGGCCAACGTCGCCAAAATGGCACCTAGTCACGCCTTTTCTTTCGTCGGGAACGCTCGAGACGCTGGCCTCAAGAATCCGCCGCGAAGGCGAGGCCAATTCTCAGTCCCCGTCTTCCCCGTCGCCGCCGCCATCCTACCGCGAGGTGGACAGGAGGTACCGCCCCGCGTTCGAGGGGCTCCTCGCCGCCCTGGAGCGCATGCACGAGCAGCGACAGCTTTGCCACGACGACATCAAGCCCGAGAACATCTTCGTCGCCTCGGACCCGATGCAGCATGGGGAACGACCTGCCCGATGGGTCCTCGCCGATCTGGGAAACGCTCGACACCCGGACCACGCCTACCACCGCTCCTCGGCGCTCTGGACGGCCGACACGAACCAGCTGAGGGATTGTCGTGCCAACGACGTCGTGAGGCTCGTCAAGTCGTATGCCGCTTTCGTGCGCGCCGCCTGTGCCGATCGGGCTGCCTTCGACGCCGCCTTTGCCGAGGGCGTTGGGCCCCTGAGCAGGATGTATTGGGCCGTGGTGGCAAAGATGATGGATCGAGAAAACGGCAGGTTTGAAAAAGCCGATGGCGGTGGTGTCTTTGCCGCACGGGCTGCGGCTCATTTATCTCGGTTCTACTCTGGCTCTACTGAAACGGATAGTGACTATCGTGAGTATGGCGACGAAGAGGACGCGGCCCGTCTTGGTACTGGAGTGGAGGAAGAGGGAAGCGGGAGATGGTCGCAACACGAAAGGGGAAAGGGCTCGCAAGGGTTGCTGGGCCAGATGCTACGAAGTCTGACAGGCTTTGAGGAGGGTGCCCTGAGGGTGGAAGTGTCGCGGGCCTTGAGAGTCGGGGCCAGCGAGAGGATGGGAACCGTGTTTGGCCTTTCGCCTCTCCTTGGCGTCCCGGTTTCCGGGTGTCGCGTGGTCAAGGAGGAACAATAGAGGGGAAGGAAGAAAGAAAATAGAACCGAAGAGGGCTTTACATGCGATGACGAGCTCATGATACTGTTAGGAATGCTGAGACGATGATACCCCTTTTTCGGAGCATCTTTGCTTGAACAAGATGGCCTTGTCTCTCCGATCTTGTTTTTCCTTCTCTACATCCCCTCCTGATCCCCTCCTGATCCTACTTGTTTCTTTCCTTTGGTCTCCTACTCCTATCCCAGTATTTAGTTCTCCATTCCTATTGTAAATATTCTTTCTTGTTCTTATCATGTTTAGGGCTTTTACATAGTTACGAGTGTAGGTTTTTGAACCCGCTCACCCAGTCCCCGGATGCGTGTCGGACTATCCCGTTGTGAGACGAGGTTACCCTCAGTATGGATCATGAGATGCCCCAGAACATGGAAAGATACATGTTAATCCATTTCCCATCAAAACAACACCGACCCTAGACCTGCAGCAGCTAGCCGCCCACAGCCTGTCCTCGTCTGTGCTTCACTGGGGGACATTGCTTTCACTGTCGTGGCGGAGTTGGTGATCGGTGGTTGTCAGAAAGCAACATGAAGGCTGGGATGATCATTAACAACATGCTAACAAGAAGAAAAGTAACAAAAAGATACAAGAACAATCTTAATGCTTTGCCTGCTCGGGCACAATACTCTTCAGGCGGCCCTCTAGGAGGGCAAGCCGAACGTTATCCAGAACCCATTCGGCCATCTTCTTCTCCGTCTCCACGGTATAAGTACCCTTATGAGGCAGGAGGATGGCCCTGGGGTTGGAGAGGAGACCAGGATGGATTTCCGGTTCGTTCTCGAAAACATCCAGTCCAACACTGTCGACTATGCCGCTCTCTAGGGCGCGGACCAGGGCAGCCTCGTCGATGACGGCGCCTCTCGCGGTGTTGACTATGACGACCCCCTTTTTCATCATGGCAAATTGGGCATCCGAGACAGTGTGTCGAGTATGTTTCTGGAAATACCCCGTAAGTTGTAACTTACACACAGAGTATACTTGTGATGGCTCGTAGTAGGAGAAAGGGCTGGCCCCTGGGGCCTTGCAGCCTGCAGCCTGCAGGGGGGGCGGACGGCAACTTACGTTGAGAGGAAGGTTCAGACTGAGGACATCACTCGTCCGGTAGAGCTCCTCCCGATCAACATGGGTCGCATGACATTCCCTCTCCAGTTCCGGAGAGAGACGAGTACGGTTGTAGTACTGGATCCTCATACCGAACGCCAAAGCCTTCTTGGCCATATTGCGACCGATACCCCCCATGCCCAAGATCCCCAACGTCTTGCCCTGGGGATCGCGGCCCATGGCAGGCGGGGGGTTCCCGTCCCACTCGCCCTTCCGGAGGGAGGTCATGGCGATGTTGAAGTTCCTCAGGGCGCCCAGCATGAGGAAGATGGCGGTGTCGGCGGTGGCATCGTCTACCGCGGTGGGGACGTTGGATACGCTGATGCCCTGCTTCGTACAGGCTTGTACGTCGATCGAGTCGTATCCCGCTCCATGATGGCAAACGAACTTGACGCTGGGGGGGAGAGAGGCTACCAGCTCCTCGTCGAACCTCCCGGTGACTTCGGCCGATTCAAGGGTCCGGAAGATGACGGACACTTCGTCGAAGGCCCCGGATTTGCATTCTTCGATGAAATCGGGTCGAGTGGTCGCCTTTGGACGAAGGATTTGCGCGAGGTGGCCGATTTCAGCCAGGGACTCTGGTGCCCTGAGTGAAGGTTAGCGCCTGTAGTTTGAGGGGACTCGGAGAGTCGAATCTGTCCGGCGTCACGCAAAGTCGACTTACTGCTCAAAATAGCCGAGCTGCAGAACCTTGGGCTGCCCCATGACTTTTACTCTCGTGAAGCTTGAATCTGGGCAATTGGGACGGAGAACCGTGAGACTGGATGATGTGAAGTTGATTGTGTGAAGGATGTGTGAAAGATGAGGCCCCCCTTACCCCTTACCCCTTATCCCTTGCCCCGCATCCCACCATCCGTTGATAAGGGAAGGGCACCGATATCGGCACGGGTCGCCGTCGGCCGATAAAATGCGGGGGCCGGACATGGAGTCTCCGAGTCTCCGGAGTCCGGAGTCCGGACAACCGATGACAGCGTATATATAAGGTATATATATATATATATTCATGTATATAATATGATGTGGCGTTTGACATTTGGAGGTATTATTTGAATCATATTCTTTCCCGAAACTCTTACTCGACCTCCAGAGAGACAACAGGACAACAGGACAACAGAACCGTCTGAAGATTGTTCCCAAGTCTCTTCCACCATGGCCGACTCTTCGCCTCAGACTCGCCACGCGCAATCTCCCTCGCCTCATCGACGTCTCGTCTCCGGCCAGAAAGCAGATCCACCTCGTGAGACCTCCAGAACTTGGTCTTATTCCACCACTTGAAGCCAAAATAAATCACGCCAAACAGCGGAAGAAGGATATAAGCATCGACGAACCCCGCGGCATCGAAGGGGGCCAAGTTCGTCCAGCCCTGGACGAAAGCGAGGAAGACGTTGGACGCCAGACCGAAATAGGCGTTCCAGGGGTAGAACATGGACTTGAAAGGCAAGTCGTCCACGCTCAGGCCCTGGACCGCCCAGGCCTTGCGGAAGCGGATGTGGATGAAGGCGATGGACCCCCACACCAGGAACGTCGAGACGCCGCTCAGGTTGACGATGTAGCCGTACGCCCGGCCGGCGCCCGTGCTGATGTTCATCATGGACAGCGCGCCGCACAGGTTGGTGAGGACGATGGCCGGGATGGGCACGCCGCGCTTGTCGGTCCACCCGAGGATCTGGGGCGCCTTGCCGTCCTGGCCCATGAAGAGCAGCGTCCGGGACCCGATGTAGATGGAGGCGTTGCAGGCGCTGATGCAGGTGACGCAGATGAAGGCGTTGATCAGGTGCACGCCGCCCTGCCAGCCGGCGTTCCGGATCGCGATCGTCATCGGGCTCTGCAGCGCCTTCGCGTTCGCCCAGACGAGCTCGCGCGCTTTGGCGGGGCAGGTGAGCCCGAAGAAGAAGGCCGACCCCATGTAGATGAAGAGGATGCGCCAGAAGACCTGCCGGATCGCCAGCGGCACCGCCACACGCGGGTTCTTGGTCTCGGTGGCGGCTACGGCGACAGACTCGACGCCCGCGTAGAAGGTGGAGCAGAAGACGAAGACGGTGGCCACGCCGCGAAAGCCGTTGCCGTTGAAGGGGCCGGGGTCGTGCCAGAGTTGGAAGCCGAGGGGGGTCTCTTGGCCTTGAATGCCGCCGGCCGCGTAGCTGTCTCGTGTCAGTGTGAAGGCGTTGACGAAGGCGGGGTGGAAGACATAAGAGAGAGAGAGAGAGAAAGAAAGAAAGAAAAAGGGGGGGGTAAAAAGGGGGTTCAATAAAAACGTACACAATGGCAAAAATGAAAAAGGCAACGAGGCCAACGATCTTCACAAGGGCGAGCCAGAACTCGGCCTCACCAAAGGATGCGACGCCGAGAAGCTGGAAGCCAGTGAAGGCAAACTATGGACGGTTAGATGGTGAATCTTGAACATCACAATTCTGTGTGAGGCCAAGTCTCAGTGGAACTCGGGCGATACAGCCTCCAGGAGAAAAGCTTCATGTTGTCGACGCACCCAGAAGATGAGGAAATACCCCCATAGAGGTATAGAATCGCTCCAAAACACCAATATGCTGCAAAGGGCGTTGTATTCATTCGCCAGCACAGCGAACCAGATGATAAAGTAATTCCAACCGACGGCGACACCGAAAGCCTTGTCGACAAACCGGTCGCCGAGGGCCGTGAAAGCGCCGCCGGAAGGATACAGCGTGGTGAGCTCGCCCAGGCTCTGCATGATGCTGAAGGCGATGATACCGATCACACCGAAGCCGATGAGCAGGGACGCCGGCCCGCCGTTGGACAGGGCGCCGCCGGAGCCGATGAGGAGGCCCGGGCCGATGATGCCGGCGAGGGCCATCATGCTGAGATGACGGGTCTTCAGGCCTCGTTTGACACCCGACTTGGGGTCCATGAGGTCAAAGTCGGAGGAGGAGGAGTCGGTCTTGTCCGGGTCGTCGGGGTCCGTGCCGGACTTGTGGTCCCGGGGGCCGAGCCCGGCTGTACTCGTGGCGACGGCCGGCGCGGCCTCGATGTCATCCGAAGCGGCGTCATAGCCAGGAGAAGGCTTGTCGTCTCGGGATTTGATGAACCTCATTTTCTTTCGTTCTGTTGCCGTGTTCTGTCCCTTTTCCTTTTTTATTTTCTCTCTTTCTTTTCTTCCCGTCTTCCTCCCGTTGGGCAGACAACCACAGACAGCTGGCGGGACAGCAAGGACGCTATATGAGAAGTGAGAATGGACAAAAGAGAGGGAAAAAATAAGGAACGACAGCCTGAGAAAGGAAAGGGGGTTGGAACAGATCGAGAAAGTCTCTCACGGGTGAAGATCGACAGAGGGATAGGGTACTCGGGGCCGATTTTAAGGCGAAGTCCTAGCTGGAGTCCGGGGCACTTCTTTAGCGTCTGCTCATCCTCGCTTGTAGCCGTACAGTAGACGCACTCGGGCAGAGGTGAAAAGAGTCGGCTGGAGAAAATACGACGAATCGGTAGAGTCCAAGAGTGAAAATCGGTAAAAGCACCTGACCAAGAGTTGAAGCGAAAGGGGAAGGGCCAGGCCGAAGTGGCATAATAAGTGCCGATTGCGTGCTCAAGCCCCTGTATGTATGAATTGAACCCCATTGAATCACTTGAATCGCGTCATCCGGGGGCGTCGTATAAGGTCTTCTTTTTCTTTCTGTCCTATTTGTATCCCTCGCCGGGACTTTTCGACCCGACCGCTGTTCTACTAGACCACGCGCTCCACGCGGCGCCAGCCCCTTAGACGGTGGCTATTATACGGCATCTTGAAGTTTCTGCTATATGATACTGCATGGTTGGACGAGTAGACAGTAGCAATTTGATACTAGTTTGCGAGTTGAAGATATTCGCAGTTCCCTTCCCTTCCTTACCTCGTCTCGGTAAAATCCGTAAGATATCCATTCTGTTGCCCACAAACTCAGCCAAGTCGTCAACTGTTCTACAGGCCGCCTTTATTTCCGGGCCTGTGACGGCTGCTCCTGGGTTCGTTTTCACCCAGCGGTCAAGGCCTCAGCTGAATCCGGAGTAGTGCAACTCGCTAGCCGTCAAGCTTGTCCAAATACTAATCATACCATGGCTTGGGCTGTCTCGTCACTGACAGCCTTGCCGATGGGGTGGTTTTCAAGAGAGATGCGAGAAAGAAGACTTCGAGGCTCGGCCACAGTCAACGACACAGGGGTTCAGGGGCTCAGGGGTAATAGAGTGAACAAAGTCCCCATGACTCGTGCTGGGAAACATCGATTCCAGGTATTCACCATCCCGATATATAAATACGGGGAATCCACTCGGGCTAGGGTTAATATACTAAACGTCGTCGCTGGCAATTAGCATACCGGTGATGGAGAATGGTCTGTTACTCTGTTCAGACTATGTCTCATAGTCATGTTCCCGACATATCCTTCGCGGCGGCTCCCTCTCAGGACTGATACGTCGCAAGAGAGGCAAGAGGGATGTGATTATTAAAAGAAAGACCCCCGTCCTGTACTGTCTCCTTACTCCTCCGCAGAGGATCGAGATGGACATCCTGCCGAGACACTTGATATGTACGCATTGCATGCATCTGTGCTGCCTCTACGGAAGTTGGAACTTGGAACTGAGCCTCCGTGCCGAAACCCTGGGACTATGCCAAAGACACGACAAGTTTGACAGAATTTGTGGCGACCTGGTCGTTGAAATTCTCTTCTCGATGGGTTTAAACCAGGCCGGATTCGCTTGTCGAATCTGCCCCTTGACCTCCAAACACTGCAGATTCCGGACAGACCGACAGACACCAGTCATTCGTCCTGAAAGAGAGTTTGCATAGGTAATGTACATAATGCACGATACATGATACATGGATTCCAAATTTCCCCCGTCATGTCCCCTGGGCCCCGAGGCCCTGCCCCTGAAGTTTGAACGCCCGTAATAGTCCCCTTTTCTCGGACCCTGGCCAAAGCCCGGCCTGGCGTCCATGAATTGCTTTAGCAACGATCCGTCTCTTCACATCATATCACCCGAGCCTATGCTTCTGGTTCTCTCCCTTTGAAGTTGTTCCATTAGCCCGGTATCATCCACGCTGGCGGCTGACGGCCAGGGAAACAGAGGCACAGGACGCAACTCACCCGTACACGACCTTTGGCTGTTCCATCAACTCCCCGTCCAGTATCGTGTCAACCCGGTCATTATCGAAGCACACCATACCCGTAATGGCACCACACTCCTGGAGCGGATACCGGTAATACCAGACCAGATCTTCCTTGGCGTGGCCGTTGACCACGACGTCGAAATACTCCGCCTCGCCTTTGTAGGGACATTTCGTCTTCAGGCTGCTACGGCGGAGGACTGCGTGATCGACCGCCGAAAGAGGGAGGTAGTAGCGCGGGGGCAAGCCCGTTTCGTAGACGTGTACGGCGTAGTTGGTGCGGGCAACGGTCTCGTCCCCTACACGGATCTCGATGGGGCGGCTGGACGGGAGGATATCGACACGTTTGTAGGGGTCCTTGGGATGGACGTAGATGGGAGTGTCCTCTTCGAGCCAGTGGTCTGGGGGGGGGGGAGATGGAAAGGTTAGTCCGAGATTCCATGGGAAATCATTACCACCTTTGTGTAATCCAGCAGCTTTCGGAGAAGACCCGCGAAAAGGGGGAGAAAGGGGGAGGATTGTGGCATACCCATGCTGCCAAACTCGATTCGCATATGACCAGCTAAAGACGAGACAACACTGGGCGTTTCCGGTACATGGCCATCCTTCCCCCGATAGAAGCGCATTGCGCGGTCTGTCGAGCCTTCCATGAGACCCGAATGCGAGGGCAGCTTGATCGTAACCAACGAGGCACGGAGCCCTTTGGTGTAACCACTCTCGGAAGTGCTCATCACTTCCCCCGTGTCCACCCAGTGACAGTTGACGAGGCCCGAAAGCGGGATATAGTAGTACGGGAAGTTGGAGTGCTCCCAGACGTGCAAGGCCTTGGTGGTATCGACCAATGTGGTGCCTTGATGTATGACTCGGACTCGTCGAGACGTCGGCTCTATCTTCTTTGGCCCTTCTTCCAACATGAGACGGGCTAGCGCACGCAAGCTGGATCCAATGTTAGCCTATTCGACTGTGCTTCCTTTTGTTTATGGGTTTATGCCTGTGCTCTTGAGTCTTCAATGTTCACTTACTCCGTCTCAAAATCTTTATCTAGCGGCATCGACATGATTCTTTGTTTTGCACATCCAGTCGACGAAGTGAGAATTGTGAGACTGGTCTCAGGAGTCAGATCTATCATCTCGCGGTATATAGAATATATGTGGCACGGCCATATGATATATCCCATTGTCTGATGGCCTGATTTGAAAGGCTGTACGTCAATGACATCGAAGACTCGAACCACTACTGGGGTCTCACTTGGTAACATTAGCCCGTAGTCTCTTGGCTACAAGTATTACCCCGCCCCCGGATTCAGCTTCTAGCCGATGACGGGTGGGGCCGCGCTCCGGAAGTCCCCCATCTGCTATCGGCCTCCATAGGTACCTCGATCCAAGCCTCATCCGGGGGGTGGGGGGGGGGGCGGAGCTCTGATGGCAGATTGCAATCACTTCTTTCATACATGATCCCATGTTCTCTTAAAGAAGGTTTTCAAAATGAGTTGAACGTGAGCATTATTAGGATTCATAGGATCATGGCGTATCTTTGCCACTCTGAACGCCCCGGTGTGCAGCATCACAGGAATCCATGAATTCAGGGGCAAAGGCAGGATATTATATATTCATATTTCCAGATTTTCAAGTTCCCTTGTCTTTCTTTCATCCCAAGCCAGAAATACTACTGCACGTCATTCACGACCTATGCGAAAAAGAATTCCATTCAGGGATGGAATCCATCAAGGGGGGCTACTTCACCGTTCTCCCCCACACCATGGTGTCATTCCTCCACAGCTGGGCTTGTGGACTGCCATCCATGTGGCCATCCATTGAAATATAAACTCAGGCCGGACAACATCGAAAAGTGCTTAGCAAGGGAACCGGACCAGTGAGATCCCCCAACCTTTTCAACCGGTTGCTCGATACGTCCCTAGCGAGGCCTCTGGAGCCTCTATCTGTTACACCTTACATTCGCCCCCCGAAACTACCCACATAGAGACATGGAGGTCAAGCGAATCACCGGAATCCCCGAGACAGCAATGTCTTTCCTCCGGCGCATCGCCCGGGAAACTGAATGCATCGTCTGCCACGATACGATGAAACGGCCCAGGGTAGTCCGCTGCGGACACGCATTCTGTGAAAATGCAAGGCTGCCATACCAGATCCCCGAATTTCGGCCACTCGGCTAACAACGTCCCCCTTTTGCGATTTGTTTTTAGTGCACTCTGAAGCTACGCCATATAGCGCCAGGCTGCCCCTTTGGGTGTTGTGAAGGGACCTACGGCGAAAGTGTGTGCTGGGTGGTGAGTTGAACTCGTTACCCGCCTGTTGCTCTCGCCCTCTCTCCTCCGTGTTTACCCCTCAATCCTTCTCCTCCTCTTGGAAAAAAAAAATCCGCGGCTTGGGAGCTGAGCACGCTAGAGTAGTTAAGCAACATCAGCGACATTGTGAGGGAATGGGAACAAGTCAAAGCAGACGAGTCGGGGTCCGCGGACCTCATCCGGGAGACGGCAGCGCTGGCTCGCCGGAAACCAACCATACGCCATGCGGCCGTCAAATTCCTCTCGGAGCAACGTAGGCTCCCGGAACGTGGACTGAAGGTCGCCTTGGCATTCGTCAGGTCCATCTACCTCCTTTTCGCCAGCTTCCTGAACAGGTGTCTTTCGATGTTGATGCGGCAGGCATCGCAGGTGATGCAGCACGCATCCATGGTCGGCCTCGCCATCTTGGCGACCAACATCATCAAGGTGTTGGCCAGATGCCCGGATCTTCCAGTGGTCTTTATGGCCATTATCGGGGGTTGGTGTTTGTGGACACGGTTTGGGTACATGTATGGTAGGAAAATGCCACGACTTGGCCGGGGTGTACATGTCGATAGGATGGAGAGTTGAGAGTTGAGGCCCAGGAGCCGTCTAGTCCAATGTTGAGGGACATGATGGTATCCGGTGAAGTGATTTGTTCGAGGAGTACCTGGAGCTTTCTGTGGAATCTAACTTGACCAGAGTAAGGATAGGACAAGCAGAGCCGACTCGTCAAGACTGCTCCGGGCTTTTCAATTAAAACAAAATGTCTATCACAACCAGAGACAGACGGGCGCCCAAGTCCCCGTCCCCGCTGGTAGGTATTCATACAAGATTGAGGCAACCTCTTCCGAGGCCAGAGCGGCGTTTGGATATCCTTCCTCGAACATGGACTCAAGAAAGAGAAAGAAAGATAAGAAGAAAAAAAAAAGGAGGGAGGCCCTGAGCTGCAGACCCAGCGCCAGCCCAGCAATCATGCGCTCCAAAATATCGCCCGTCCCGTACGTAATTTTCTCCATCTATTTGTTGTACAGTAATCAAACAGCAAAGAGGCTCTGTCATGTCAGAAAAGGACCCTTCTGCGCGCACCCCCGCCGCGTCTTCCCATCATAAAGTGGGACGGGTCACTTAATAGTAGTCGCGACCACTCTTCTGCATCTCGATAAGCCGCCAGCCCCTCGTCTCCGGGTTGCTCACGTCTTCGGGCACGCGGGTGATGCCGATGGCGTATGTCACCTGCTGCACCTTGTCCTCCATACCGGCCGCCAGCTCGTTGGTCTTGGCGTTGCGGTACACGTGGACCTCCTGCGTCCGGCAGGTGATGACGAAAACGGGGATGTCGCCGGGGTCGAGGATGCGCGCGCGCGCAATGTCGACGTGCCGGATGTCGAGGATCCGCCCGTCCGACTTCATCCCGGCCTTGAGGTACTGCTTGGTGAGGGCGTCGTACACCGAGTACTGGGCTTCCGACAGCCAAAGCTTGAGCGTCTCGACGTCGCCCTTGACGTAGGCGTCGAGCACCTCGGGGAGGATGAACTCGCGGAGTTCGGTCAGGAAAGGCTCGAGCTTGAAATTGGGGTCCATGGTGCGAATCTTCTTGATCACTTGAGCCTGCTCGTTCTCGGCGAAGAGTCCGCCGATGGTGTCGGTGATGCTCCGCGCCGTCGAGATCAGTGGGTTCTCGGATTCCTGGTACACTCGGCCGGCGCTGAAGAAGCCCTGGACGAACTTGTTTTGGTCGCGGAAATCCCTCCAGGCTTCCTTCCAGGCAGCGTCTTTGTGGAGGGTAACGTGTGTGCCGGCGCTGTACGACAAAGGTTAGCAACAAGTTGCGTTCCTTTGAAGGGAGGAAATAAGAAGCAACGAAAGGAGGAAAAAGGAAGGAAAGGAAGGGGAAAAAAGAAAGAAAAAAAAAAAAAAAAGAAAGAAGATTGCTTACTCGGGGTCCTCCTCAAACGTCTGAGCAGGGTTCTTCTGAAGCTCAGCCTCGCGCTTCTTCCTGCGCTCCTCCTTTTCCAACCATCCACCATACCGCGAGCTGCTACCATCGTCAATCACCTCCTTCACGTTCTTGTAGGCCTCGGTCTCGCGAATGGGCTTGGTGGCCTTATCGAGCACGTCGCCCGTGACGTTGGCCACCTTGCGCACGCCCTTGACAGGCGCCGTGTCCCAGGTCCAAGCAGCACTCTTGCCGATGGCTCCGGCGGTAGTCTTGACGACGGTGGAGGTGGTCGAGGAAATGGCGCCCGTCGTGGACTCGTAGGCTTGCCGCGCCTTCCTCACCCGCTCGCTCTCCTGCAAGGTCTGGATCTCCCCGGACAGCGCCTTGGTCGACTCGTTCCACTCCTTGGACGCTTGGAACTCGGTCTGCATGGTCTCCATGAAGACCTGCCAGGGCGTCTTGTCACCGTGTGGCGGGGGGGGAGGCATGTCCTTCTTCCCCTTCTCTCCTTTCTTCTCTCCCTCTTGGCCCTCGGCCTTCTCTTCACCCGCGCCGCCCTCGTTCTCCTTTTTCTGCTGCTGCTTCTCCTCGGACGTAGACTCTTCTTTTGTTTCAGACGACTCGTCGGAAGTCTTGGCCTTGGTCTCGGCCTTCTCTTGGGTTTGTTGGCATCTTGAGGATGTCAAGTGGAATGGGCGGGTCTGGGCGGGGTGGCTGAGAAGGGGACGGATCTCATGAGGGAGGAAGGATGATCGAAGGGCGACGGGTCGAAGATGGGGAAGCTGCGCGCGGGAGGATGGCGATGAGGAGGCGACGGAACGGGCATCAGAAGACGGTAACCGTCGGTAGGCGGAAGACCGGCCGAAGGTGGTGCTGCGTGCCGCTGATCTGCTCAAAGCAAGAGGAGGAACGCTCCTTGTCGACTGGGATAAAGAATTCATTTCGAAGAATAAGGAACCATCCACCTCCCTAAGGATTAATTGACAGGAGGATGGGGAGAGGAAAGCGAGAAAGGGCCCGAGAAAAAGGGTGTGGATTAATTAATGCCGGGGGGCGTTGTCGGAAGAGGGCGGTCGTAAGGGGAAAATTGATCGCGAACAAAATTTCGGCGCGGGACCATTGAATTCTGCGCCAGCGAGTTCGGCTGAAAGCGGCCCGCGGGTCTAAGATTCCGAGGTTTTGCCGATAATGTACTTAGTTTGGTACTGTTGTCAGCTGGCAGCCAGGCCCTCCGCCTGGCACCTCAATTTGGCGTCCGGGGTCCCCGTCAAAAAATTGATGGACGGTACAGACGAAGAGCAGAACAGAAGAGAAGCATCTGCATCTGCATCTGCATCTGCATCGTCACAACCTCGCCGACCGCCATCGTCTCCCGAATCGGCTCCGGCACAACGCATTCACGATGAGCGGCCCTTGCACAAGTCGCTTCCTGGCACGGTCCAGGACAGCCATCCATCATGCCGCCAGGCCATCACCGATAACGCGCAGCAGTGCATCAACATTCGTCCGGCCGTTCTCGCAAACCCCTTGCCGTTTAGACGCCAACAGCTCGAGAAATAACAATGCCAGTGGAGGCAGTGGCAGCGGAAACAACAACAATAACAACAACAACCCCCTTCGTGGAAGCGATCTCCTCAGCTCCCTCTACGGCAGCCCACCCTCCCAATCGACCAACCCCCGGTCTTCCTCCTCCTCCTCCTCCTCCTCCTCCTCGACCTCTTCCCCCACCGGCAGCAGCAGCATGATGGACCTCCTCCGCGACACGCTCGGAAAAGCCAGCGGCGGCAACCGGAGCGGCATCATGGGAAGCCTGACCGAAGGCATCGACTCGCTCGCGCCCCCCGAACAAGCCGACGCCGTCGAGCCCTACCACTTCCACATCTTCTCGACCAAGCACAACACCCACGTGACGGTGACCAAGCCCGACCGCGGCGCCATCGTGTCCGTGTCGGCCGGCAACATCGGCTTCCGCAAGTCGCGCCGCGGCCAGTACGACGCCGCCTACCAGCTCATGGCCTACGTGCTCGAGCGCCTCAAGTTCGACGGCTGGCCGAACAAGATCAACCGCATCGAGCTCGTGCTGCGCGGCTATGGCCAGGGTCGGGACGCTGCTGTGAAGGTCCTCATGAGCCCCGAGGGTGCCATGTGGCGTCAGAAGGTCGTCCGCGTTGCTGATTCTACCAGGCTTAAGTTTGGTGGCACGAGGAGCCGGGCTCGCAGACGTCTGTAGACAAGGAGGGGGAAATCCAGAATTTGCAGTGTTGATATGGCTCGTACATTTTTTGGGGGGAACAGTAGGCGGAGAGACGCGGGATTGTACAAATAACCAGATGTATGATTGTACTATATACACCAGTCAATGGAAACAAAAAGCACATTCTTGCCTGTTCTGTTGTAGTAGTACAATAAACTACGGATCATGGCTGAAAAAATTCGCAGAAGCATGTATTGGTATCATCAAAGCCCAAATAGAAGGTATCGTCCCTAAGGCATGTCCTCAACTGACCTATCCCAATCCCGCCGGAAAACGAAAACGCCAGCACGCCAATAGAAAAGAAAAGGGTACCTATGGAACAGGTGCCCTCTCGGAAGCCGGCAGCGGCCTCCCACCTTGATCCCTCGCAACTTGTTTCCCTTTCCCGCTGCCTCCCTTCCGCCGCTCCTCGTCGCTATCCCACTCGGAGAGTTCGTTCCCGTCCTGCTCCCGTCTTCCCGCTGATTCTTCGGCAAGGAACCGCGCCGACGACGACCTTCGCGGACGCGCCGCCTCCTGCCCATCGAAATCGTCCAGCAACGCCCCGTCCGCCGTGTCGTACTCGGGCGGTTCGACCCACTCGCGCGGCACGACGCAAGGCAGGGCCACACCGATGCTCGCGGCGCGGTTCAGCCACGCGGGGCCCGGCTGGCCCGTCAGCTTCTGGCACAGGGTCTGTGTGAAGTGGTTGCAGTTGCGCGTCAGGAGGTTGTAGGTCATGCCGAGGAACTCCTGGGAGATGGCGTCGAGGATGGCCTCGATCTCGGATTGCGTGGCGAAGGTGAAGCCGTGGAGGATCTCGCAGCGGAAGGTGCCGCCTGGGGGGACGGTCTGGGGTTGCGTCCAGTATACGCCCGTCGTCCCTGGTCTGTCGTGGCCTCCGTAGGCGTATTCTCTGCCGTTGATGACGACGCCCGAATGGAGGAGACCTGCGCCGATGGTCCAAAGAACGGAGGAGAGTCTTCCCGGCTGGACGAAAAAGTAAGAAGGCACCATTTAGCTTTTTTGAGTCTGTATATGGGATCGTTCTACCATCGACGGATGGGGCAGGCCTTGCGTACCGGAAGGAGGTCATAGACATGAATGGTGATCTCGGTTTTGGTCAAGGACAGCGTCGACCGGTGGGAGGCGGCAGATGGTCTCGAGTTGGAACGTCCCTGCGCGGAAGCCATTGTATGAAAATCTCGTTGTATGAGATTTTGGCCTTTTGAGGCTAGAGCCTAGGTATGTATTCGCAGCAAGATGCAACGTTGAACAGAACCGAATTGATCCAGTCAAGTCGGCCAAGGTAACAATCGAACGAAGAGCGGAACGATGGTGAGAGGATTGCACACGTAGGAACGGCGCAGGGCTATGCTAGTGCTATGCTAGTAAGCGTTACCGGGAAAGAGCATCAAGTTACACTAAGAATAGCAGCGACCCTCATTGAGAAGGAATTGCGGAGGAGACGAAAAGAGTGCATGGGTAAAATCAAAGAAAACGAGGTTAGGGACAAAGGATGATGGAACTCGAGAGCCTCGTCACCGAGATTGGTCCGGAAACCCCGGTGTACTCTGTACAAGTGCGCAAGAGGTACAAAGTATGTGTACCTAACCTTGCAGTTACATGTACGGCCCTGATAACCGGGTGGGGCGATAGAGACTAACCCGATAGGAGTAGCCAAGTCTGATGACATAATGATTCTGGGAATAGTGACATGGCTAGGGGCATCTGACATAAGTTGTCTCATTAAATAAGTCTCACGGGGGCTATTGTAAAGGGGTGGACGGGAAGACGGGAAAACGGGAAAACGGTAAGAAAAGCAAAGTGTAAAATCAAAAATAAATCAAGACAGACAGAAAGAAATAAAATTAGGAAACCCCATGCTCAACGCCAATTCTCCATTTTCCTCCACCTTATTTTAGGCCTCCACAGGAATGTCAAACTGCCACAGAACCTCCCTCTGACACCGCTTCAAAAAGTCCACAACCTCCTCCTTCTCGTGCCAGGCCTTGTTATACGCCACAGTCAAAGTCGACTCGCCACGGAACCCGACCAACCCCCCGTTGAACGTCGCCCCGGCCTCCTCGCCCGTCCACCAGACGTCAAACACCTCCACCGCGCCCTCGCGCGCCGGGATGAACGCGTCCACCTTACCCATGCTCGACAAGCCCACGCCGGGCTCCGGGTTGAAAGGCGGCACGGGCGGCGGGCCAGCAGCGCCCAGCGGCGGGAGGGGAAACAGGTTCCCCCAGATCTGGAACCCGAGGAACACAAAGTCCGGGTCCTTCCGGAACGACTCGTAGTAGCCCTTGAGCGTCTGCAGGACGTCCCGGTACTGCGACCTGCGCGTCGCGGGCGAGGCGCCGGCCTCGTCGCCCGCCGCCGGGAGCGTCACGTCCACGGGCATGAAGAGCGGCGAGACCGAGTGGTACAGCGCCGCCGGGTGCTCGGCCGTGTTGTACGGCGGCAGGCACGCGGGGCGCTCGTTGCGCGGCATGAGGCTGCTGTACCGCATCGGGACGGGGTCCGCCCCGCGTTCGCTCTCGTGCAGGTCGAGCAGCACCATGGGCACCGCCGCGTGGTAGGCGTGCGTGATGGACACCCCCGCCGCCTTGCACGCCGCCGCGAGCTGGCTCGTCTTTTCCGCCGAGAGCGTGGCCGCCGCGACCTGGCTGGGGCCCGGGACCGTCTCGCCCTTCTTGTAGGGGATGGTCAGCGTGCGGGTGCCCGCGGGGGCCTGCGTGGCCGCCCACTCCGCCCCGAAACCCGCCAGGCGCTTCTGCTGGGCTTCTGTTCCCTTGGCCGGCATGTTGGAGGCCACGCGCAGGGGCGGGCTGAGGCGAGAGACTTCGGAGCCGTCGCAGGTCGGCACGACAAAGTCGGCGCCCTGCTCGTAGGCCTTGGCGACCAGCTTGACCAAGTTGCCGAAGAAGATGGCGAGGCCGACGCCGTCGATGATCTCGTGGCCGACCCGGAGGAAGAGCTCACGGCGAATGGGCCGATCGGCTTCGGTCGGGGTGGGGATCACGAAAAGGGTCGGGAGGGCGGGCGCTGGCGGGTCCGAATTGGCCCACTCATCGGCGTCGGTGTGAGAGGGCAGGACCACAAAGGTCGACGCAAAGGCGGCCGGGTCGTTATTGCGATAGACCTTGGCGAGATCACCGGTCTCGGCATCCCTCACAACCTGGCTGGCGATGGTGGGGTGGTTGTACCGGAGGGTGTCCCATGCCTTGCGCAGGGCTTCGTTGGCGCGAGCTTCGGCATCCTGGCTGGAAACGGACGAGTCGGCGGGTTGATCGAACTGGAGAACAAGATGGGAGATCAAATAAAGAGGCTTGGAGGTGGCGCCTTGGTACGCGAGCAACTGCGACGAGTAGTAGTATTCCAGCTCGTCGACGCCGCGCTGCCAGACGCCAGGTTCGGTCTGGCGCCACACGAAGCGTTCGTAGGCGGCCTCGTTTTGTGCCATGATGATGAGATGAGATAGTTGAAGGTATCACCAGATACTGTAAGAAGCATGCGATACTCTGAGATGGGGGTGGAAGAGGGATGCGAGAGTAGCAGGACTTGTTACAGGGGCTATGGGCTTTGAGGCTGTGGTATCTGTGGTATGAAGACGGAGGGATAAACAGAAGAAGGGAAATGTAGGAGAGGGCCAACTTGAAGCTTGGAGAGAATGAGACTTATAGTGACCAGACGGGAAGGCAGTTCGCCAACAACCAGAGACGGCCACACCGTTATATAGCACTCGAACAATGAAGAGCGGACGGACAGAGCTCACGATAGTCATGGGGTGGACGCCACACCCATCAGGGAAGCTCCACCAGAAGGGTAACCTTTGATAGCTAAAACGGGCGCTCGCAAGGGTGGTCTTTCGAGGGCTAGGCCAGATTGATTCTCGAGTCTGGGAGGGAACCAACCTCGGCTAGCACCAGAAAGTCGATGGAAACGGTAAGGAGAGGGATGGGGATGAGAAGAGGAGACGCCTTGCGAACGCCGACGAGGCGAAGCGCCAGCAATACACTGCACTGAGAGGATGGGCGGAAAGATAGAAACGAGCGTCTGGTAGCGGAAGAAGATGCGCCAAGAGGGCGTGGAGGGAGCAGGACAACACGAGGGGACATGCAGTGGGCGGGGAATCCCTCCCGACTCTTCCCCGCCAGGGGGCCCCAGTTGACGAAATCAGACGAGCGGCGAGGGATCGCAAAGGGCCGCAAAGGGCCTGAAAAAAAGGGCTCCCATACGCCGTGGGTACATACCTGCAGTACGTCAATGGAGGAGGTATTTTCCGGACTGTCGTACGGAGTACGGAGTATAAGTTGAATGCAAGTGTATACTATACGTTGGACACACGAGGTCAGGAGAAACCACGCAAACCATGTGGCGACATGGAAAAGAATCCCAGGGTCAAGCTTCCGCGTGAAGCCAAGAAAATAATAATGCAACATCACAGCTCAAAAGGAGAGGATTCGCTTCCATTTGGCAATGGGTTCGGAAATCCGGCATTTCTCGATAAGACGACTCGGTATCACCACCGACATTCATCGTTCGCTGGCACAAGTTAAGCAATGGAGCACTATGCCCCAAAATCCGCCCAGTCTCAGTAGACCGACGGATGGCTTTTCTTGCTGTAGTTCTGTCCCCAGAAAGGGAAACGTGAACATAAGGTGGTGCGAGGTGTTGGGCCAACGTCGACGGTTCAATGAGGAACGACGGAGATGTCCACATCCACGATACAGGATATGATGCAGGATGACAGCGGGGAAGGTAGGGAGGTAATTACCTTGGTCCCAAATAAGCTCACGCCACACCTTAAAGACTCGTGGCTACTCCGTACGAAGATTCCTCATACCTTCTCCTTCTCGTACAAGTGAATGAACTAGTCCCTGACAATTCAGCAATTCATGATCTAAGCTGACGTTACCTCGCCCAATTCATCAAGGCCTCTCTCCGCCAAATCGAGGACTGGAAGCGAATGATGTGTATCAATCCAGTAGGAGTGCAGCCGACCTTTGGAGGTACCTTATGTTTGGAAGCAAAGGACCTCCCATGACTTGAAGAAAAAGGACCAGACCCGGCATGTCCCGCTGTCCCAACGCGAAAAACGTGAGCTGGGACATTAATGATTACCCACGTGTATCGGTACGAGGAATGGGGAATTGGTCCCATGGGATGGGAGCCCCATTTACCATTGCTGGACACATTGCAGGATCACAAAGAACAACTACTGCGGGCGGTACTACGGCGGTATAGTGACAACTGACTAATCAGTTTAAATATAGTGTAAACCCGTCGTCTATTGGTCGGTGGTTGGAACCTCGGCACCGACAACAGGCCATTTGTTAGGTAAGCATCCCTTAAGTAGAAAGGCTCGTTTGGCGTCTCAACGCCATCTCCGTAATTCCAAGGGGAGGGGACATGAAAGAGTTCGGGTTGTATGAAAGTACCTTGGGTAGGTATGATAGTGAGCCCTAAGCGAAGGGGCATGGGAGAAAGTAGAAAGCAGAAAACTTCTAGATGCTTGCGGTGGAGACTCTTCTAGTCTTTCTTGTCCATACGGTTGGACCCGAAAGGGGGGGGGGGGGGGGGGTTAAAAGCGGCATATATTGCGAGTTCCGACTTTGGAGGGTTGGATGGACTCATCAACGGCACAGCCTACTTACTTAATTAGTAGATCGCTCCCAGGCTCGCGACTTGAGAGATATTTTGGGTCATGGCACACAGCACGCGGGGGAATAGATAAGATAAGATTGGTCGAGGGACCACGGGGAATGGAGGGAGAAATAATTAAGCCAAGACCCGTGGAAGATGGAGGCACGGTCCTGTGAGTTCCATTTCTCATCGGCGACTCGGGGTGAACTGGACGACGGTTTGGCCCGGAGCTAACTACAACTACAGACAAAATACGGGCGTGCGACCACCGCCAAAGCCCTGGCCTGGAATCTGGACCACAACCGTCCCCTGGTGTCCACCCCCGAGTTGATATCCACCGGAAGTGGGTTACATCCCTTTAGTTTTCGGGGAGTTACGTTCAATGTCTATGCCTGAGCAAGACTAAGACACCATAACCCACGAGGGCGAGCTCCGGGTCCTACAATGGTCTGCACGTAAAGAAGTATGGACGGAAGGCAACACAAAAGGCCAGTCCCAGATCGCATGTCGTTTATCAATATCATTCAGCTCTGATTCGCATTATGGTGCGGCCCTGCGGCACAACACATGGGGGTTTCTCTCAGGGAGTTGACTCCTTAAGCCTTGGCCGCACCCGCCTTGATGAGCAGGATATCGCCATCTTGTACCACATAGTCCTTGCCCTTGGTCATCATCTTGCCCTTGGCCTTGACCTCCGACTCGTCGCCAAGCTCCTTCAGGATATCATACGGGAATACGATGGCCTGGATGAACGTCTTCTCGAAATCGGTATGAATGACGCCCGCGGCCTGGGGCGCCTTCGTGCCGTTCCGGATGGTCCATTGCCGTACCTCGTCGGCACCTGTCGTGAAGAAGCTGCCCAAGTTGAGGGTCTTGCGCATCTGTATGATGAGCTTGGGCAGAGCAGACTCGGCGCCGACGCTCTTCTGCTCGGCCTTGGCCTCCTCCTCCGTTTCGAACCGTGTCAACCGTTCCTCGTAGGCCACGGAAATGGGAATGAGGGGATCGCCCTCGGCGTGCTCCTTGACCCATTCCGCAATCTTGGGAAGGTGCTTGTTCTTCCTGCGGACGAAATCCTTCTCTGAGAGGTTGACGAGATAGACCACTGGCTTGGCCGTCAGGAGGAAGAGAGGGTTAATGACCTCGATCTGACGAAACGGTGCATTAGCAAAACCATCACGAACGAGACAACGTTGCACTCGGTGTGGTATAAAAAAATGCGCCGGGTGTCAGAATGGTTTTTCATCTCAGGATGCTCTCTGCGTTGTTTGGTGAGGCATTCGACGAGCTGGGATTAGGTTCGGACCGAGGGTCCTTTGTCATCACGTAGGCGGCAGCGGAAGATGGGAAAAAGGAAAAAGGAAAAAGGAAACAGTAAAAAGAGAAAGAGAAAACAGAAAAGGAAGAATATATGCTCACCTCCTTAGGGTCCCAGTGGCCCTTCCGGACATCCTTGCCATCCTTAAGCCATTGAAGAATCTTCTCAATGGTAGCTTCTTCTTGCTTCAGCTTCTTCATCTCCAGGCTGTTCCCGCCCGAGCGAGTCTTCTTCTTCTGGTTCTCCAGCGCCTTCTCGACAAACTCGATGTCTTTCAACCGCAGCTCTTCGCTGATGATATCCAAGTCACGGACCGGGTTGACGTCGCCCTCGACGTGGATAATCTCAGCGTCGTCAAAGCACCGGACAACCTGGAAGATGGCATCGACGGCGCGGATGTGTGACAGGAAGGCATTGCCGAGACCAGCTCCGGTAGACGCGCCCCGCGTCAGGCCGGCAATGTCATAGACCGTCAAGTTGGCGGGCACCCGCGACTTGGGCTGGTACTTCTCGCACAGCCAGTCGAACCGCTCATCGGGGACGATGACGCGTGCTTCCTCCGGGTCAATGGTGGCGTAAGGGAAGTTCTATGCCGATGCAATTAGCCACCAGGCCGTCGCCCAGATTGGGGATGCCAATGCCACTTACAGCCGGGTTACCGAGATTGGATTTCGTAATGGCTTGGAACAGAGTGGACTTTCCAACGTTCGCCAGGCCGACCTGAGTTGTTTGTGTCTCGTGGTCAGCCTGCAGAACCCCGGATGGCGTGTTCAGGTCGCGATTGTGCTACCTACGATGCCGCTCTTCAGGTTGTTACCTGGCCGGCCCAGGAGGATCTTCTTCTCCTCCACCTGCTTCTTGGGAGGCATTTTGGAGGACTTTCTCGCGTAGCTGCGAGAAGGGATGTAGGAGACGTTTACGGTGACGGTGCAAGCACGACGAACCACCGGGGTCTGGGAAATGGCAGAGCTAGCTGCGCGTGTGTAAAAAGGGAGAGTAGACGAAACGAAGGAAGAAGAGACGGGAAAAATTAGGGACGTCAACTTGAAGGCGTTGTGGCTGATCAGACAGCCTCAATCGCTTGAATCGTCCAGAGAATCGGGTTTAGCCGAATCACAAGAGAGATAGGTGAAGAGAGTGTGAATTATATGTCGCAAGGTGGGGTAGAAAAGGAGGAGGAGGAGGAGGAAGAAGGGGAAAGGGAAGGAGTAGAGGAAAAGAGGAGAAGAGGTTCGAGTTTGCGACTTGGTGGAGTTGGGAACCAGAAGAGATTTTTTCCTTCAGACCTATACGTACCCGTACCAAGACCCGCCAAATCCCCCCTTGGTCCAATTAGAGTCACGTGCCTTCGAGCCTAGGTATCTTGGCATCTGGGAGACGAGCATAGGTAATCTTTATTCGTAAGGTATGAGAAGCTGGGAACCTCACTCGACTTCATGGTTAACGCGGCAACAGATCCGCCGAATGACAAAGTATACTACACAGTGTCTACACCGGATGCTTCTCTGTCCAATTCCAAAACCGAGTTTCCACAAAAGATGGCACAGTACGCCTGTCGTTATTTGCTTCGAAGAGGCAGAGCGTCCGGGGTTCGGGTTCCGAAGCAGCATCAAACACCACGATGCCGGCCTGATCCCCCCGCATGCCCTGTACGGCCTTTTTCAACTCGGACAACAAGGTAACGAGCTTCCGCAAGGCCTCTTGGTTCTTTTCCTTCTCCTCCCAGGCGACGAGTTCCGTCTTCGAAGTGAAGATGTCCACCCTCTCGACCGTATCCTTGGATCGGTATCCCACGATGAGGGATCGGCTGCGACTGAACCAGAGTCGTGGAATATATGACTGGAGCGCGTCGGCCGAGTTTGGCTGCCCACTATGCAGCTCCGCGAACTCAAGGTTTGCCATGGCTGTACGGGCCACAGTCTTTCCACGAGCGAGAGCATGAACCGAACCCAGTGGCGGGAGGCCATTCAGAATGGGCGTGGGCGTGGGCGTGGGCGTGGACGTGGGCGTGGGCGTGGGCGCACTGTATGTCGCCTCACATAGGGGGTAAGCGGGTTGGTGCCGCATCATCTCGAGAGCCAAGAATATAGGGCCCAGTGGATACTTTGGAGCTCGCGCAGCATTCTGGTCGACGTGCTGCACGCCGATATCTCGCTCAAGCTTGACAGGCAACGGCACGGGTAAGAAGCTGGCAGGGTATCCTGCTCATGAATCAGAACGGCATGCTTCCACTTGCCAATAGCAGTCCGCAGTCGATTATCCTACCTGGGACATAAATGAGGGGGATTCAGACGATAGGATCCATGGAGAGGCAGTCGATGCTGTCACAGCGGTCAGCGGTCAGATATCCGCCAGTGCAAACATAATTTGTATCTGAATGTGCGGGGCGTGAACTTGGGGTTCTTACAGGGAAGGGAAAGACAACCCTCACTTTCCGCCCCCGGGCCCTTAGGCAATTCTCCTCCAGGAGCTCGGGGTGGGCGGTGAGCGCTCGGGTGTTGTCGAAGAGATCCGCACAACGACATTTGATGAGAGTCTCACCGCTCTGGGGCAGAGGTTCAGAGTTCCGAGAAGGGTTCCGACTTTCCATTAGTGGGACGTTTAATGCGGATTGCAGGGCTGTTCTGGCATCAGAAAGGACGTCCGTATTCGCAGATCCTTCCAGGGGGACATTGAACGTCTCAAGCCCTGATGATACGGCACCGGATACAGAAGTTACAGAGGCACCGCTCTGGTGAGTTGGATTGGGAGGCCATGGGAAGAAGCATGATCGGAGTTGGCATTCGATGTAAAATGGGACACAAGATCGTGGCCGCTTCGAAATGGCTCCACAGCCACATCGGAAGAGCTTGAGGTGGACTTCGAAGCCAAGCTGTACACGGTTAATAGTAGCCATCCATCCATAACCGTACACGAAAGCCGCACTTGACGATGTCATCTTTGCTGGAGCGGGCCTTCCAGTGCGCTTGGAGAGAGCTCGTGGTCCCAACAAACGCACCACAAGCACATCGGGTCTTGCGGTCTCGTGGAGGAGATAGCCTCTCGACCTTCACCGTGGCTTCCATTTGCCACAGCTGCAGCAAAGCTTCTTCCCTCTCGGAGGCATCTCTGGGGCTAGGTCGCTGGGATGGTGTACGTCTGATGTGACGAATCAGGTATGCAATGCAACTCTGTCAAAGTAAGGTAATGAACATAAGATGTTCAGAAAAGCCTGAGGAGACAGGACTGAAGAAATGAAACGGGAGCCCCGAAGCAGTGCTAGAAGTGGCCGGTTTGAAAGGAGATCACGACAGGGCAGCGGTAGGGGGCTGCCAAGTAGCTCAGTCTACCTATGGAAGGAGCTCCCCGCCCACGTCTTTTTGGGGTTTCCTACCATAGGTAGTACCTTATGTACACCTTACCTCTACTGAGTCTTTGAGAGCAGGAGCATTTATATCTGTCATAACTTATAATGTTTTAAGAGCAGCACCTACCACCTTCAGTCCCTTTTCTTTTTGACACAGTGTCACACGCAATACCGCGCTCAGGCTTCATCTTCAACTCATATATATATATATATAAAGATGGTATATCTGACATTATATTGTCCCTGTTCGTCGTGATATTACATCTGCCAACTCGGAACTTGGAAGTTGGAACTACCGGCGATAATATAATCGCCGCGCACTATAGGTATAAAGTCCGTAAAGCAGGTAAAATCGTTAAAGATATAAATAGTAGTACCGGAATCTAGGATAGTAGAGTGCTATAGAGGGTATCCGGTAATAGCGCCGGCCGTAAAGCTAGCCTCCGAAGATATAGTAATCGGTATAGTACTTAGTCCGGTGGCTAAGGTCGTCGGCGCGCGCCTAACCTCCATCAATTTACTCTTCAATTTTAACCCTTATCTTTGTACGGTTCTAGTTACGCTATACCTGACACTGCTTGGTTCTTTCTTCTTTTCTACTCATTAGCTTCGAAATCGCTGCGGGTCTTGATTCTTGAATCCGACACTACCAAGCTATTATGACTGGCATGAATCAGGATGAGTCAACTCCTTCCTCCTGCCGTGCGTCGGACATTCAGATATCCTCACATTTACACCAGAAGTACCTCCATCAAGGAGGGATCCCCATTCCCTTTGGGTGTAGTGGTACAATTTGGTTTTGCCATCTGCAGGCTGCCGTGTGCCGTGCCCGTCCTGTCGTTAATTTCAGCCTCCATGGCCATCGGGCTGGGAGTCATGAATTTATGGGATGATTGTCGGCGGTCACGACTCACCACCTTTATCGGTCAATTAGCATCAACCGTACGAAGGTTGCAATGGCCAATGGACTACCTATAAGGTATTGACCATCGTTCTCCTTCAACCCACCTCCACCTCGGAGCAGATCTCGGGGGCCAAGGCCGTGCTTTACCCAGCTATGAGCTGCCAGCTGCCGGCTTCATATGCCGCCCATCGCACAACATTCTCCGAAGGTTTTGCCGCTCCAACTGCTCCAACGAACGCCGGTATCGCTGATGCCACCCCCCTTCCCCTGTCCCCCGCAGTCTAGCGTGTACTATTCCAGAATAAACAGCCGCTAACCCACGCCCTGGTTTCTAATCAGCTAACCAGAACGGAATCCAGCCCTCACTAAAACGCGGTTTGACGTGGGGGAAGGGGACGGACCCTATGTAAAGCGGGGGGGCAATTGGGAGCGCAACCTCCCAGCAACTTGCCTCTTTTCTCTTTTGAATCCCCGACCAATTCACCCTCTCTTCTTCTCCCCAACATATCTATTTCAGGGACGGAAGAAAGACAAAAGGGAAGACGAGGGGGGATGGCCCGAGAATAAGAGAAGACAGTGAAATAAGAGGTGCGGCGCTGCATTAAACCATGCAACCTCCGGTCCACGAAAAATCGACGCCTTCCACCGGCACACCCCCTGTCGCCGTCATCGATGCCAATGCCGACTGCAGCAACAACGCCACTCCCGTCGAGCCGCGCCAGCCTCAAGCCTCTCACGTAGAAACCCCAGGAAAGGGGTCTGAACCGTCTGGCTCACCAGAGGCACTCTCTCCCAGCAATGAGGTAGACCAAGAGCGACACGATTCAAGTGATCCGAACGCGAACGCGAACGCAAACGCAGACGGAGACGCAGACGGACACCCGGGGATCCCATTCTCCAAAGCCAGGTGCATAGCTTTGGTTGCCACTCTCACTGGTGCAAGCTTCATGAATGTGAGTTCGATCAAGTTTCGCCTGATCTCGTATTCGTCCAGCTCTACCCCCGGTAATAGCCCCCTACTCACCTCGCAGCCAGACCGTTTCCATCCAATCCGTCGTCATTATCCTGCCAGCCATTGGCGCCGACCTCGATATCCCGGAACAGCGCTACCAGTGGGTCATCTCAGCCTACGCCCTGGCCTTCGGCTGCTTCCTCCTTCTCTGGGGCCGCATCGCCGACATCTACGGCAAGCGCAAAATATTCATCGCCGGCACCGCCTGGGTCGCCGTCGTCACCATCGCCAACGCCTTCACCCCCAATGAGGTTGCCTTCGACCTCTTCCGCGGCCTGCACGGTCTGGGCGCAGCTGCCAACGTGCCTACCGCTCTTGGCATCCTCGGCACGACCTTCCCCCCGGGCCGCGCCAAGAACTATGCCTTCAGCGCCTACGCCGCCGGTGCGCCCCTGGGGAGTATCTTCGGGAACCTGATCTCCGGCTTCATCGCCAATTTCGCCCACTGGCGCTGGGTCTTCGGCGTCAAGGCCATCCTCTCCGGCATTGTCACCGCCGCCGCCATCTTCGTCATCCCGCCTCCCCCGGCCTCGCTTCAGACACCCCCCTCACTATCCGATCCCAACGACCCGAGCGCCGCCGCGAAGCGCTCCGTCGACTGGTTCGGAGGCTTCCTCATCACCGCCGGCGTCTTCGCCCTGTTGTATGCCTTGGCCGAAGGCAACGTCGTCGGCTGGCACCGCCCCTGGATCCCCGTCATCATCGTCGTCTCCGTCCTCGTCATCGCCGCCTTCGTCTTTTGGCAGCACCACCTGGAGCGCAAGGGCCGCGCCCCTCCGCTCATGAAGGTGTCCGTCTTCCGCAACGCCCGCTTCAGCGCCGCCATGTTCATCATGGCCCTCTTCTTCGGCTCCTTCAACAACTTCCTCGTCTTCGCCACCTACTTCTGGCAGGATTTCCAGGGCCACTCCCCGCTGCAGACCACCCTCCGTTTCATCCCCACCGGCGTCATGGGCATCGTCACCGCCCTCGTCGTCGCCCTCCTCGTCTCCCGCGTCCCCACGTACCTCCTCCTCGTCTTCGGGAACCTCTCCATGGCCGTCGCCTGTCTCCTTTTCGCCGCACCCATTCCGCCCACCACGTCGTACTTTGCCTACGGCCTGCCGGCCATGGTCTTCTCCGTCTTTGGTGCCGATACGGCCTGGCCTTGCCTGACGCTCTTCACCTCCAAGTCGCTGCCGCAGGAGGACCAGGCGCTCGGCGGCGCTCTCATCAATACTGTCGGTCAGGTGGGCCGCGCCATTGGTCTCGCCATTGCCACGGCGGTGCAGACGGCCGTCATGGCCCGGGAGAGGGGCTTGCCGGTCCAGGAAGTGGGCAGCATGGAGCTGTGGGACGAGCCGTCGCTTGCCGGCCTTCGCGCCGGCAATTGGTCCAATTTTAGCTTCGCTGTCTGCTCACTACTCATTGTTCTATTCGTCTTTAGGAGCTCCGAGATTGTTGGGAAGTCTGATAAGAAGCCTGAGCAGCGTGGTGAAGAGGGGACGATCGGTAACGAAGGGGAGACAAGTCGGGAGAAGACAAGTTAGACACAGGCTTTTTCCTCTTCCTTCTTCTTTCCCTTGTTCTTTTGGAATACATAGAAAACATCGACCAATGGTGTCAACGGAACTGTGAAACAGGCCATGGCGCACTGGAATCTGTTAATCTGATGTAAAAGAGTAACTCGTGTCATAAAATCCAATATAACCACATGGACATGCAACTGAAAGTCGCATCAACTTGTCACCTCGTTATATATACAGTGTGCGCCTTGGAAAGCAACCACTGCCACCAGGAGATCCTTCAACCGAAAAAAACAAAACCCCCGTCGGGAGATGTACGTCCACCCTCTCTACCCATGAGAGCGGGGCGTGATTGGCGAAACCGAAACGGCTTTCGACTACTTCAGTTTGGCGCCGGCGGCACGAAGACGGGAGGTGATGAACGCGACCTGTTCGTCCACACGGCTACCATATGCGAAATGGGCGGGAGTGATAACGAGGGTGCCACTGCAGACGGCATCGCCAGTGTTGCAGATGATGTTGGTCTTCTCGGGAGGGAAGTTGGGAATCTGGCCCCTGTCCTATAATTTGCCATTCCTGTCAGTGTCGCCGGGCTTTCTCCACGTCATGGAGGAGGGTCCAAAAAGGGGGGCTCTTCTTTCTCACCTGTCGGTTCCGGGTATCACCAAACGTGAAAGCGGCGGCGATCTGGTCCTTCTGGGCCTGGGGGAGGCTCTCGACGGCGCGGTGGGTGACGGCGGCGCCCTGGCTGTACCCGCCCACGACGAGGAGCGAGTCCGGGCACTCGGCGTTGGCGCGGGCGATGAGGCGCTCCATCTCGCGGACGCCGCGGGGGTCGGCGCCGCCGGGGAGGGCGTTGGTGGAGAGGGCGGCGGCGTACTCGATGCCCTCGACGGCGACGTTTTCGGCGCCGAAGTTGGCTTTGAGGCTGTTGGCGGTCGGGGGCCCGCAGACGGTGCCCATGTTGCCGATTTCGGTGGACCCGCGGGCGAAGAGCATGATGATGGGGCGGCAGCCGCCGTCGGTGAACTCGGTGGCGGTGGTCCGAACGCGGTTGCGCAGCTGGCGCTTCTCGACGGCGTCGATGGGGCTGGCTGCGGCGAGGGCCGCGAGGGTGAGGGTGAGGAGGGATTTGGTGGTGAGAAACATGTTGAAGGAGACAGGTAAGGCGGGAAGCTGTCTAGATGAATGAGTGAAAGAGTGAAAGATGGAAATTGGAGCTCGCAGAAGCCGGGTATCAAAGCGAATTCAAGAACGATGAAGAGAGAGAGAGAATGGAATGGGAATAGCTGCCTCCTGGGCTAGCAAAGAGAAACGAATTTATAGAACTGTGATGCGCCTGGCTGTGAGAGTGGTGAGAAGGAAGTAAGAAAGAGGGAAGATGAAGCCATCTTATAAGAACATCATGAACGACATGAAGTGCGGACGTCGACAGCGTCTGGATTTCGATTCGAAGCAAGACTGCAGCGTCCAATCGCATCAATTGACCATTACGGCGATGGTTGAGAGGTGAGCTTGGCGATCAGGAGAACGAACTAGCACGTAGAAAGTGTGGAGGAGGGGAATGATCAACATCGACCTGAAGATAAATTTAGGGATTCGATGAGCGTATCGGCAGCATCCGAGATGGGCTGTGGACCGTGGGTTCGCAAGTGAGCCCCCTTTCGGGCCAAAAGCATAGCTCACCCTACGACAAGGGGGGGGGGGGGAACAGATGAGACGGTTTGTATCAACATCGTGGGGTTGGCCGTTTGTAGTTCGCAGAGCATCCGACTAACTACTGTTTAATGTTTAAAAGACGGACAGGAGATCTCAGATGGTCGGGAACTTCGTCTTCGTCTTATAAACCGGCCGTCCGCAAGTCGCACAATGTATGGTATGCTGTACTCGTTATCTCGTCGGATGGTTAATGATGCCTGATGGGAGAATAGTTATTGAGGGTAGAAGATAAAACGTACACTTGTAATTAACATGATCAATTGCTTCGGGGATAGTGGTTTCCATTAAGTAACATCCCGAGAGTTGGCAAGGGGCGGAGGCGGGATCATAGCACGGCCTCCGAGCTGAAACCAAGATCACTGATACTTAGACCACGGTAGGGCTAGATGGAGTGGGGTACGGAGAGTAGAGAGAGTACGGAGTGTATAAGGCTCTTGGTAGCCTTGCCTAGCAAGTCCGTTTGTTTCCAGAGTCGGTGGCGGTGATGTGGTTCGACGGTGTGGACCAGGGGTGTCGGGTTTGAAACATGACGAGACGCTGACCGGTCCATCGAAACCGTGCCCAGATGCTATTCGAATTTTGTAAATCCAAATCGGGGACCAGGAGCGAGACCGTAAGATGTGCTGTCGGTCAGATGCTGGCTTGTCTCGATTAGTAGTTAATAAACGGAGAATATAATGTACGAAGTAGGCTTGTTGGAACGGTCTTGATCATCGCGGCATGCAAGCCGGAAGGGCCCTCGGGTCAATGCGAAGCCGAGAGAGTTGGAAGCGTGTACCCCACCCCTAGGTACCTTAGGTAAGGTACCTAGGTAGGTAGTGGATGAAACTGTGGTTCTCTGAGGCTGGTGAAGATAAGATAATGGCTACCTTATAATTACCTTACACGTGTAGTGCCTTAGTGGTGCGGGGATGTCCGTGACGTCAGGCTTGTTACCTGGGTACTGCTAGTGTACATATTCGTACATTGAAAACATTGTACGCATGCTGCCAGCCACACCAACCACACCAGCCACACCAGCCACAGAGACCCTTATTCGTTGTGTGGAGTTCTGCCCAGCAGGCCAGGCAACCGCCAAAGTTTCGCCCAAGGTCACGCAGCCGCCCAGCCCATCCCTCCCTCCTCCATTCCTGCGAAACCCGAATCCTGGTTCGGGTCTACCACCCACCTTCTTTCCTCGAACTCCTGTGTCTTGGTTCGCCCATCATCTGAGCAACGACAACATAAGGTAACGTACTGTTTACTGAGAATCCCGACAAGCTACAACAGCAGACTCGTTCCCGCGCCGAATCCTCATCTTTTACCTTTTGACTTTCTCTAGGCGCTAGACGCTCTTCTCCTATTCTGCATACGTACCTTACACATACAACAACCCTGCCCCTCTCCCAGCACTCCCCTACACGCGGGCTACCCTCTGGCAACAGTCTTTGTCTTCCCCCCGCCTTTTCCTATCCGGAAGACTCGTGTATGTCTCCCAACGAGCCGACCACGCATTCTCCCGGCCGCTTTGGCAACAACCGCCATGACAACCCCATTTCCGACCAGGTGACCCCTTTGACCCCTTCCCTAATCACCGGACGTCAGGCTGGCAAGCCGGAGTCCTCCAAGCATGCCTCCGAGAATCACATCCCGTCATCATATGACGACAATGCGTTAACCGACATGTCCGCTGTATCGGCCGATAAGCGACCAGCCACTGGCCATCTCATTGATTTCTCCGGTGAGACATCGCCGCCCGTCACTTACGATACTCCGGCCAAAGACGAACAGAAACCATCCGACTCGACCGACCATATGACTTCTTCCGTCGCCACGCTCAAGCCCTCCAAACCCGTCTCCGCCGACACACCAAGACAATACCTGACCATCAGCACGACCGGATATGTCGACCCGACCCCGCCTACTCCGACAGCTTCCGGTCCACCGTCTCGCGCCACCTCCAGCGCCGGTTCTCGAAATGATGCCTCTCCCACAAGGTCCGATGTCGCTTTCGACGACCGGAGATATGCGAGTGAGGACGATCAGGAAGGCGGATCAAGATCGGAAATCCAGAGCATCATGGAGCAGTTCACCGGCGACGGCGGCGGCCCGGGGGCTGACGAGGTAATGAGTCCTAGGCTGGAGATCACTTCTCCCATTCTAGCTCCACCCATTCAACATCCACCACGCAAGTCGAGTCTCGAGCACCTGGGCAGCACCTCCCAGACGACCACCCATTCTCAGGAGCCACTTCGGTTGTTGAGCAGTTTGCCGTCTTCCCCGGCCACCGCGAGGGGCCCCGAGACGACGTTGGACGATGAGGGCCCTCCTGTGCCGCCCAAGGACAGCCTTTCAAGAATCTCGTCACTCCCTCTGCCACGAGAAGATGGCAGAACCACGGCTGATGGACTCATGTCGCCCGCTGTGCCGATACCCCGACCACCTCCCCCCGAACCGGAGCCTGAGCCGGCGCTGCCCTTTGATTTCCACCGCTTTCTGGAGCAGCTGCGGAACAAAAAGGCCGACCCGGTGGCCCGTTACCTCAAGTCCTTCCTGTCGGAATTCGGGAAGCGACAGTGGATGGTGCACGAACAGGTCAAGATCATAGGCGACTTCCTCGCCTTCATCGCGAACAAGATGGCCCAGTGCGATGTCTGGCGGGATGTATCGGACGCCGAGTTCGACAACGCGCGCGAGGGTATGGAAAAGCTGGTCATGAACAGGCTCTACACCCAGACTTTCTCTCCCGCCATTCCCGCGCCGCAGCCGATCCCGGGTGCGAAGCCCAAGAAGAGGGGAGGGGAGCCGCCCCTCGGTCCGGGGAGGAGGGGCCAGCATCAAGAAGACGTCGAACGGGATGAGATATTGGCGCAAAAGGTCAGCATCTACAGCTGGATTCGAGAGGAGCACTTGGATATCCCGGCCACCAGCGAGAGCGGGAAGAGGTTTCTCAAGCTAGCACAACAGGGTACGTTTTCTGCTTTTCCCTTTTCCCTTTTCCCGTTCCCGAGAACCCGGTCACACTACGGCTGCTGACTCCCTGTGGCCCCCCCCCCCACCCTAGAATTGCTCAAGATCAAGTCATACCGTGCACCCCGGGACAAGATTATTTGCGCACTCAACTGCTGCAAGGTCATCTTTGGTTGGTCTACGCTTTCTCCATCTTGGTGCTTGGACGCCTAGTACTACTCGCGCAAAAGTAGCTCATGCGGGATGTGACAGGATTGCTGAGGCACAACAAGTCGGACTCCTCGGCCGACTCGTTTATGCCGCTCCTCATCTACGTCGTCCTTCAGGCGAATCCCGAACATTTAGTGTCGAACGTCCAGTACATTCTGAGGTTCCGTAACCAGGACAAGCTGGCGGGCGAGGCAGGCTACTACCTGTCGTCCTTGGTAAGCAAAGCCTGCCGTGTCAAGAAGAAATCCGGTCTCAAAAGAACCCCCAACCTGTGCTAACCTGTGCTAACTAACCCTCGTACGATACAGATGGGCGCTATTCAGTTCATCGAGAACATGGATCGAACCAGCCTGACCATCACAGACGAAGAGTTTGAAAAGCACGTGGAGGCGGCTGTTTCGGCCATTGCAGAGAAGCACCGCTCCGAGGAGGTGGAGGCAAACCAGCCGCAGCGCCAGCCGCACCAACAGCGGCGGCAGCAGCAGCAGCCGCTCTCCGAAAAAACACCTTCTAGTTACCTCCCATCAACGGGTAGCGAGCCGGCATCCTCATCCAACTCGAGGCTGTCGGTCGAGGTGACGACGGGGGACTCGACTCCACGGCGCTCGACCTCCTCCAACGACGGCGAATCAGACGATAGAGCCGGCATCACGGGGCTACTGCGTACTATCCAGCGACCCCTATCGACCATCGGGCGTATGTTGACGGACGAACCGGCCGGCGGGTCGTCGGAAGGAGCACGCACGCCGCAGCAGCCGGTCGAGCGCAGGGACGATGCTGCTGCGGCGGCGGCGTCTCGACATGTCCTCTCGGCGGAGGAGGCGGCGGCGAGGCAAGCGAGCGCGGAGACGGCCGAGGCGCATCGGCTGCACAGGGCGGAGCACAATAATGTGGTGGAGACGTTGGCGGGAATGTTCCCGGATCTGGATCGGGAGGTCATCTCGGACGTGGTGTACCAGAAGCAGGGACGGGTAGGGTTGGCGGTGGATGCGTGCTTGGCATTGTCTTCCTAGGACGGGGGAGGGAGAGGGAAGGGAGAGGGAGAGGGAGAGGGAGACCGAGATGGAGGATGCGGAGGCAGTGCATGCTGTTGATTGCGGAGGGTGACGGAATTGGTAATAAGAAGATGGGACTTGTTGGAGTTGAAGAGAGACGTGTTGACATTGTACGACTCCTTCAACACAACTACCTTACCTACCTTACGAATAGGTACATAATAGCGACGGACGAAGTAGCTCGGTACGCACTTACTCTGCTTCAGTTCGTTGTCTCGGGTTTGTGTCAGGATAGTGGAGAAGGAACTCCTCTTAAGGAGTCTTCTCCTGCAACTGCCACAAGACCGGGCCTAGACCATTATTAGTCATGTAGGTACCTTGGGTATTCAGTTTCTCCGTGTCTGCCGGATATTACCTAATACAGCACTACCCTGTGCCCGATGTAGCACAAAGTGCAACGAAGTCAGGTACTGTAAGGTAGCCTTCGGCGCAATCTCCCCTTCACAAATCATTCACATGCTCTTTCTTCATTTTTCTCTTTTTTCCACATCATCATTGCGCCGGGTTCCCCTCATCGTCAGGTTGTGTCTCAATATCATGCCTGCCGCCTTTTCCTTCTCGTTTGAGATATTCTATCCCGCCCAATTGATTCCTTCCGGGCTCGGGAACGGCGAGAGACAGAGAACCAGGGCCCAGGGCCCAGGGCCCAGGGCGATGACCACAGAAAAGCAAGGCATTGAGATGGTTGCCGAGCAATCGGAGTTGCATCATCGGTGAAAATGGCCTGATCAGAATGAACAACTCGTCTGCTCATTAGTATTTCGTTTCGAGGACCGTCTTTTGGTCGTCTCGCATTGGTCCGCCGCACAGATGCCGATGCCGCAAGGGATAAATAAAATCGAGGGCGAGTGTTACATCGTGGCGGGGGCCGTGCCTAGTCTCGACTCCTTTTTTCTACCCTTTGCCTTCTTTGGTGTTTTCTTTTTCTCGAGTCAAGCCGAGCTCAAGGGGTTGTGCTCCCCTTGGTTGCAGTGAGCTGACGGAGTTCGTCATCACGACTCCATAGAGTCCGAGAAAACTACAGAGCATCCATCCCCCCTCCCCCCCCCAGGAATCCTCACCAACAACGCCATAGACTCTTCCAGTGAGCATTGCTCGGAATAAACCTGCTAAGTTTTCTGACGCTATTAGGTATCTCGAGTTTTTTTTTTTTTCAGTTTCATGTCATCGCCCTGAACCCAAAGAAGGCCATCTGTCTTCCCATAGCCGAATCTGTCCTGTTCCGACCAGCACTCCCAGCTTGTTGTCCGTCTGGGCACACACCTGAGTGGCTGCCCACCCGTCAGACCCCTTGCTCGGACCCTCGTCGCTGCGACCCAGGGGTCGACTGGGGGCTGTCAGGGACCCCTGTTTACATGTCTTTCCCCCTGCTTTCCCTCGTGGGGGTGGTCACTGAAACGGTCGCTTTCCAGAGCCGCAATATATCAAAACACACCTCCACTGTCCAAGTTCCCTGGCCCTTCCCAGTACGAATACTGCACACCAAGAAGGGGACCCGGCCAGAAAGATCGGATGGGATTGGCATCTTGCCTCGGGAACTGTCAGCCAGTCATGCTACGAAGTATTACGAGATACGGACCTCTGCCAGTGCAAAGTCGTATCCTCACCACGATGGCCAAGCTCGCCCCGCCCTGAGCAAGAGCCAAGCTTTCTTTCTAAACGAGCTTCACCCCCCTTACTGAAGGACATCCTGCTTTGAGGACACCCTTAGCTGGAGGCCCATAACTGCCCAGGGTATCATAAGGATCGGATCGGGAACCGCGTCTGGGCCGCGTAATACGCTACCCGGCTCACTGTCACCCAGACGAAACGCCCCCCCCCCCCACTCTGCTCTGTGGTGCACACTGGGAGCCCCGAGATATAACAGCCAGTCTGCCATGCGTAGGTTACAATGATCAGCACCACCCTCGTCTCTCTTTCTCGAATCTTGGTTGCTCCTCTGTGTGCTGCTTTCTTTCCGTTCTCTTTCTTCGCTTCGTTACCACTTTTTTTTTTTTTCAATTCTACCTCACGAAGAGACCGGTTTCTCGAGTTTAGACCTGGAGCAAGCCTCAATTACCTTCTTTTTTTTATTTATTTTTTGTTATTTTTTTCATCCCGCTCTCTCGACCTCGTCCCGCCATTCCATCGACAAGAATATAACAGAAAAAGAAAAAAGAAAAAAAAAGAAGCCCATTACATTAGATTACAATCTTACGACTAGCCCTACAACATTCGTTTCCTGCCTCGGTTCTCAGGGATCATCCACCGACACGATGCTATTCTCTCGATCCCCGGCAGTCGTTGCCTGCCTCGTCTTCGCCGCAGCCTTCGCCGAAGCTAGTTCTGGGTTTAAGAGGGCCGCGAATCCTGAACATCCTGCCCCGGCCGGAGTTCATCCTCCTCCTGCACCGGTTCATCCTCCTCCGGTAGCGGTACATCCCCCCCCCGTGGCAGTTCTTCCGGTCCCAGGCGCGTCCGAAGAGGTCTGCCACCCTGTTACCCGCACGCTTGTCCACACCATCAACGTCCCCGTACCGACGACGATCAAGCAGACCGTCCATGTCACCGTCCCCGGACCAGTCGAGACGGTTCGCGTCCCCTTGCCGACAACCGTCGAACAGACTTCTGTCGTCACACAGGTGCAGACCGTGGTGCAGACGCAGGTGAACAACGTTACCCTCACGCAGACCGAGACGGAAACAGAGACGGAAACAGAGACACGGACGGTGGAGAAGCTTGTCACCAAGGTCCAGACCCAGGAGAGACTGGTCACCCAGGTGCAGGAGAGGCCCGTCACCGTCATTAGCACTCAGTCCGTGCCCGTCACGCAACTCGTCACCCTGCCTCCGCAGGTCGTCCAGAAGACGATCACTCAGTCCGTGCCCGTCACGCAACTCGTCACCCTGCCTCCGCAGGTCGTCCAGAAGACGATCACCCAGGCGGTCCACGTTACGCTCCCGCCGCAGGTCGTGCACAAGGTGGTCACACGGGTCCAGATCCATACGCAGCTCGTGAGGGTGCCCGTTCCTGTCACCCAGGTCGTCACCGTTACGAGCACGGTCATCGGCGGCGCGAACCCGATCAACAACCCGGCGCACCCGCCGCCTGCGCACCCTACCCAGGTTCCTCCCCCCGTGCATCGTGCCCCGGCGCCGGCGCCGGCTCATCCACCTGTTATGCAGCCGGTGCACCCGCCGCCTGCTCATCCCTGGCAACCGGCTCCCGAGCATCCGTCTCGCCCTGCGCCTCAAAATCCGCCCCAACACCCGCCCCAGGTCCCCACTACCACGTCTATCCCGGCCGCTGGCACTTCTTCGGCCGTCCCCACGGAGGACGCCTCCGAAGTGACGTCGGACGCACCGGCAACCACAACGACACCCCCCGCGGCGTCCGAGGAGGGCGGAACCGAACCCACGCCGACACCTATCATTGTTCCGGCCGGACGGAACATGCGGTTCATGAAGCGAAACTGAGCCCGCTCCCGATGCGTGAAAGTGTTACGTTGCGGTGGACAGTGGACAGCTTTATTGGTCTGATGGAGGGGTTGGGTTGGGGGATTGCGAGGTTGACGACCAGGGGTGGCTACTTGAGGGTGTTCTCCTTTTTTCTTTTCCTACTACCCAAGGTACTTTTGAATTCAGTGGCATAGAGAGTGCGGTACCGCACTGTACTTAATAGAAAGAGAAGTTCGACCGGGTCGATCCGAGAGACACCACTTGCCAAGGCGTTTTCTTTCCTTTTCTTTTCGTTTTCGTTTTCCTTTTCTGAAGAAGAATGATCTGTGAAGTGTGGGCAGATGAAGCAGCAAAGGGGAGGAAGAGGAAGAAAGGAGACCTCGGTTTTGGGATCTCGATGGAGACAAATCTCGGCGAAGCCAACATAAAGGCAAAGAAAACTATAAGGCAAAGCAAGAACAAATTGCTGCTACGCCGAGGACGAAGGGTATCCTCCAATTCGTCCCGAGATGGTCAGCCGCGGAGTCGTCCCGGTCATTGTCGGCCCCGTCCTCGCCACTCCCACTCCCGCTCCCACTCCCACTCCCGTCTTCACTGCCAGTGTCGCCTCCGGTCTCCTCGGCTTCCTCCCACAGCTGCAGTGCAAACTCGACGGCATCGTCCCCGTAGGCGTCGAAGTAGCTTCCGTGAATCTCGCCGTCGTCTCCGAGGGCACAGAAGAAGTCACCTTCGTCGCACCAGGACCTGATCTTGGGCGCGTAGGACGCGCAGGCTGTGATGTTGTCGCGGGGGAAGAGCTAGTTAAAAATTACAATAATTAACATCGGGGCGAGTTTTAACAGGATAGGTAACGAGTGAACTTACGCCGTTGGTGGTGCTATTCCCGTAATTCCACGGCGCTTCAGCTGCGTGAGTTGGGTCTCCGTACAGTATGACGGCAAGTACTTTTTTTTTTTGGTCGCAATTTTTATCAGCCTTCGTCGTCGTTCTTTTTTCTCTGAACGGGGAAGAAAAACTTACCGTTGTGCTCAACGATGGTCGAATTGAGCGGTGCCGACTCGTTAAACTGCACGACTGGCCTGTCGTATGGCTGGGCGCCGCACAGCGTATCGAGTATGACTTGGGCTCCCTAATTACCATGCCGCCGGGGGGGGCCGGTCGTCAAAAGGGCTTCAAATCTGCCCAAGGGCACACTAACGACTCACTTGTGAATAGCCCATCATCACGACCTTGCCCTGGGGACATGTCCTGCTATACGACTCCAGGGCGTCGCGCAGCTCGAGAATTCCGGCGGCGACGGAGGTCGCGTAGTCGAAGAACGTGGCCGGGTAATTGAGTGCCTGGACGGTGGAGTTGGGGATGGCGGCTATGAGGTCGGATGCCACGGGACCGAGACGGCCGGCGCCGAGGGGTTCGTTGGACCCCCGGGCCGTGATGACGTGCACCCCTTCTGCGCAGGTGGTTGGGGTGGTGGTGGTGGTGGTGGTGTTTTGCGCCGCGGTTTGTGAGGTGACGAGGGCGAGGAAGAGATATGGGAGGAGGAGACGCGCGCCGGCTTTTGGCGACATGGGTAAGTAAGAGTCCATTTCGGGCGGGGGTGAGCTGAGAGCTGAGACGGATTCGTCAGGTAAGAATTACACTGCTGGTGCAGTTGAAGCTGAACCTGAAGCTGAAGTTGTTGATGTTGATGCTCAAAGGGGGATGAAGTTCAGATAAGGAGGTGGATAGGGGGCTTTGGCCCGAAGGGGGATGGAGCTTCAGTGAGACACGGGCTGACGTT